GGGCAGCAGCAGCTGCAGAGTGGAGGGCAGCAGCCCAATCAGAGTGGTGGGCAGCAGCAGCTGCAGAGCGGAGGGCAGCAGGAGCTGCAGAGCGGAGGGCAGCAGCAGCTGCAGAGCGGAGGGCAGCAGCCCAATCAGAGCGGAGGGCAGCAGCAGCTGCAGAGCGGAGGGCAGCAGCCCAATCAGAGCGGAGGGCAGCGGCAGCTGCAGAGCGGAGGGCAGCATGAGCTGCAGGGCGGAGGGCAGCAGCAGCTGCAGAGTGGGGGGCAGCAGCAACTGCTGCAGAGCGGAGGGCAGCATGAGCTGCAGGGCGGAGGGCAGCAGCAGCTGCAGAGCGGAGGGCAGCAGGAGCTGCAGAGCGGAGGGCAGCAGCAGCTGCAGAGCGGAGGGCAGCAGCAACTGCTGCAGAGCGGAGGGCAGCATGAGCTGCAGAGCGGAGGGCAGCATGAGCTGCAGGGCGGAGGGCAGCAGCAGCTGCAGAGCGGAGGGCAGCAGCAACTGCAGAGCGGAGGGCAGCAGCAGCTGCAGAGCGGAGGGCAGCAGCAGCTGCAGAGCGGAGGGCAGCAGCAGCTGCAGAGCGGAGGGCAGCAGGAGCTGCAGAGCGGAGGGCAGCAGCAGCTGCAGAGCGGAGGGCAGCAGCCCAATCAGAGCGGAGGGCAGCAGCAGCTGCAGAGCGGAGGGCAGCAGCCCAATCAGAGCGGAGGGCAGCAGCAACTGCAGAGCGGAGGGCAGCAGCAGCTGCAGAGCGGAGGGCAGCATGAGCTGCAGGGCGGAGGGCAGCAGCCCAATCAGAGCGGAGGGCAGCAGCAGCTGCAGAGCGGAGGGCAGCAGCAGCTGCAGAGTGGAGGGCAGCAGCCCAATCAGAGCGGAGGGCAGCAGCAGCTGCAGAGCGGAGGGCAGCAGCAGCTGCAGAGCGGAGGGCAGCAGCAGCTGCAGAGTGGAGGGCAGCAGCCCAATCAGAGCGGAGGGCAGCAGCAGCTGCAGAGCGGAGGGCAGCAGCGGCTGCAGAGTGGGGGGCAGCTGCAGCTGCAGTGCGGAGGGCAGCAGCAGCTGCAGAGCGGAGGGCAGCAACAGCTGCAGAGCGGAGGGCAGCAGCAGCTGCAGAGCGGAGGGCAGCAACAGCTGCAGAGCGGAGGGCAGCAGGAGCTGCCCGATGGGGTGCAGCTTGCGAGGCTGCCAGAGGGGGAGATGGAGATGGAGTCGAGCAGACAGGTCTTGCCGGCGTGTTCGAGTGGAGAGGAGCACCCAGACCCTATGCTGACACCCCCGCCCCGCATCCCGTGCGAAACCTGTTATCGCACTTTCACGGAGAGAGGAAAGGCCACGCGTCATATGTCGGCCTGCAGGGCAGCGGACGCCAAGCGCCGTGCACAGGCGCTTGGGTTGACCCGCGACGTCACAGACGACTCGGACAGCGAACCTCCGCCACCACGGGATATCAGTGAAGAGGTGTGGGCCGCAGTTCCCACATGGGACTGGGAGTCGTTTTTCGGGATCGAATTGGTGCCAGGGAGAATCATGCGTCGCATCCCACAGCGCGCAAGACTGGGGGTGCTTGATGCACTAGCTTGTATCCTGAAGCGGCTCAAGTCAAAGGCAGCAGACGAGGCGGCATCCTTGGTGTTTTTGGCCTTCCCTCGTCTTTTCTTGGGGATTCCAACCGGGCAAGGCCAGGGGCAGAGGGCGGCAATTAGGGAGCGGTTGGAGAAGTTTTGGGCTGGGGAGTGGCAGCAGCTGTTTGAGTTGGCGGTGGCGGCGATGCAACCTGCGGCTCGCCCCTTGTCCTTCACCCCACCCGAGCATGATCCTGATGCCGTGCGCCTATCCCGCTGCCGTACAAGGTGCAAAGTGGGAGAATGGAGTCGGGGTTTGGCGTGCCTTACGGCTGGTAGCATCGCTCAGCCCTCTCAGCACATGGTGGACGCGCTACGAGCGAAACACCCATCGTGCGAGTCCGCCATTCCTGGGTGGGTGCAGGAGGAGACAGTCGAGCCTTCCCTTATCCCACAGCTCTCAGTGGAGGTACTCGGCCAGGCGATCCACTCAGCGGCTAGGGCGTCCGCACCAGGACCGTCGGGGTGGGTGACGGAGCACCTGCGCGACACTTTTCTCTCTGAGCCCGCGTATCTGTCCCACCTGCTAGAGGTCTTCACCCAGTGGACCAAGGGAGAGGTAGCGGAGCGCGTGCGACCCTGGCTCACTGCGTCCAACTTGGTGGGCCTGTCGAAGCCGAATGGTGACGTTCGCCCGGTGGCTATAGGCGAGGTGCTCCCCCGCATACTATCTCGGGCCATATGCATCGTGCTTCGCCCGAAGATGATGTCGCACTTTGCTCCGTGTAACCAGTTTGGAGTCGGGTCCAGGTCGGGAGTGGAAGTCCTCGCACATGCCTTTCGCTCCGCCATCTCTACTCACCCGTCGTGGTGTGCGCTGCAAATTGACGTGGCGAACGCTTTCAACTCCTTCCATCGGCGGGAAATGTTTGAGGGTCTTCGACAGTCGCCTTTCAAGGGATTGATTCCATTTCTGCGTGTCTTCTACGGCACTCCTAGCGACCTCTATCTCCGAGCGGGCCCTTTTGTCGAAGCTTTGGCTTCCGAGCGGGGCTCGAGGCAAGGGGATCCATTGGGTCCGTTTCTGTTCGCGTTCACACAGCAGCTGGTTATGGAACCAACCAAAACGGAGTACGCCGACTTACTCTTCCTCAGCTATGCTGACGATACGTATATCCTGGGGCCTAGGGAACGGGTTCTAGCAGCCTATGAGGCCTTGCGGGAACGACTGGACGGGCTGGGTTTGGAGGTGCAGCCGCATAAGTGTAAGCTATGGGAGCGAGGGAGGGACCAGGATGGGGAGGAGAGAAATGAGACTGTCCCGCCCGGCATGCAGCAGACATGGACGGGGCTCACTGTGGTAGGGGTGCCCATTGGGGAGGAGGACTGGGAGGTGGCTAGCCTGCGTCGCCGGCTGACGGAGCTGCATGCACCTGTCCCCTGGCTTCCTCTGCTTGACCACCCACAGATTGCGTCCCATTTGTTGGCGATCGCAGTGTCGGCGCGCCCGATCTACCTCACACGGACGATGCCTCCACGACCTGAGGTTGTGGAGGCTTTTCGGGACTGGGACACGAAGCTGGAAGATTGTTTCGAGGAGCTGTTTCCAGATAGTACCTGGGATCACGATTCGGGGAAGTCCCAGATGGCTCGTTTACAGCTGCACCTTCCTGCCAGACTCGGGGGGTTCGGCATTCGATCTGCGGCTGACCTTAGTCCTCTGTCGTATGCATGTGGCTGGTGCCAAGCAGTGAGCGATGTGGCTCGGTTGGGGGTGGCAGGTGAGGAGCGGATGTTTGAGGAGTTTTTCCGCACGCCCGAGGCTACGACCTTGTTGGACCCCTGGTTTGCGAGAGCAGTGGATCTGCTTCCACAGTCGGTTCGGCAGGAGATGCCACCCCTTGCCTTGTGCACCGCTGATCCGCCTATGCTGCTCTTCCCCACACAACACCGTCGCCTGGCGGTTGAGAGCCTCCAATCTCTTCGAGGCATGGCCCACAACGATGCCACCCTGGCCCGTTTGACATCCCTTCAGGGCCCGGGGGCTGGGGCGTGGGTTTCTGCCGTTCCTTCGCACGAGGAGGCTACCTTCACCGCAGCCGAGTGGAGCATCTGCGCGTCCATGCGCCTAGGCCTCCCTATTCAGCAGCTGATAGTGGCCGGCAAGTGCGCGTGTGGGTTTGAGTTTGCTGATCCCTCTGACCCGCATCATGCCCTTCGCTGCAAGTATCAGTATGCACCTTCTCGGGTTCACGATGCGGTTAAATTTGTGGTGGCGAAGATAGCTAAGGGTGCGGGTGGGATTGTGACCATGGAAGACGACACGTTGCTCCCAGGGAAGAGGGTTGATGTGGCGGTTCGGAAACTGAGGGAGGGGGAGGAGCACGCGCTGGAGGTTAGTGTGGTAGATCCTATCTCGCTATCCGCGCAGCACCATGGACAGATTGGTCGCAAGGTGGGTTTTGCCGCGAGAGAGAGAGAAAAGCGGAAGACGGCGGACTACAAATCGCTTCTACAGCGGCATGGGGGAGTGCAGTTCACACCACTCATTGCTGAGACATGGGGATGCTTGGGGGGGAGTTTTGGACGGTGGCTTAAGAAGCAGGGTGACGCGCAGATCGAGATAGCAAAGACGAAAGGGGCGGCGCGAGCTACGGGAAAGGGTTTCTCGGCTTATTTGCTCGGATCGCTCAAAGCGGCTGTGGGTGTGGCTTTGCAACGGGCTCAGGCGCGTGTGATCTTGTTACGCGCTGCGTCGATGATGAGAGGCCCAGAGGCTGTTTGGGTGGAGCGGGAGGATGTTGAGGAGGAGATGGGATGGGATGCTCCGTGGGCGGATGCACCATACTTGGTAGACATGCGGGTTTAGAAAGTGGGTTTAGGGGGGGAGGTTTGGTTCGATGGGAGTGCAGTTGGGGTGCTTTGATGGGAGGGCTTGATGGTGTTTTAAATGTGTGTGCTATTGGGGTTTTCTTGGGGTTGTGTGTGCTGCTTTTTCTTCCTTCTTCCCTGTTTTTCTTCCTCCTATCATTTTTCCCCTATTCCCCTCCTTCTTTCTTCCTCTCTCCTTTTTTCTACTCACGTTATTCCTCCTTTTCTCCTCTCTTCCCGTTTCCACTCCTTTTCCTTGCGTAATTATGCTACATTGTAATAGGTAGTACCTCGATTGCTTTAAAAAAAAAAAAAAAAAAAAAAAAAGTTGTGCGATAAGATATTTTTTGCTCGCCTTTTCGCGTAACCATGCCGCTGAGCGTGTGAACGAAAGGTTAAAGTTCGCCAAGATTTTCGCCAGCAATTATCTTAATAATGTTCCCAACTGATGCTAGCCAGCCACCGCACCGCCACCACACGCATTATTTACCAACTGAACTATGGAAAAAAAAAAATACCTAGAAAGCTCCTCGGATCTTCAGCTTTGGAGAGCTAAATTGTAGTGAAGATCGTGTGATGCAGTACCGCTCTTGCTCCAAATGGGCAGGAGCGGGGCGAGAAATAGTCGTGCGATACGTCCTTAATCTCGTCGGGACTAACTTGGACCGCTCGAACTAATCGACAGGCGTATTACGGCTCTACCAGATTCCCTTTTTGGACGCCTTGAATTCGGTTCGTGCAGCGGCTCCCCCTATTGTCACATCAGCCGCATTCGCCATGTTCGAGGAAACAGGCGATCCAAGTGTACAATCTTCCCACGGTCACAGCCCTTCAAGATCCGGTGTTCCTTCAGGCGTTTTTTCAGGTGCTTCTTCAGGTGCTCGTTCAACCGTTCAGCACTACCCAGCGAACCAACTCATAGAGAATTCTCAAGGAGGATCAGTTATTTGTTCGTATCACGTGCGCCGAAACTCGGATTCGTGCGATCACGCGCGCGACACTCCTTCAATGGCTTTTGACTCGAGTCCGACTTTGAATGCGGGTAATCTCGTGGTGGAAAATCCAACCGCCGCGTATAACTCGTTTCGCGCCGCCTCCTCCGACCCAGAAGCTGCTTCTTCCGCCGAACCGCCGAGCAGCGAAGCTTCCTTGGCTCCGGGAGCTTCCGCCCCGCTGCTTTCCAAGCCTAGCTGGCTCGTCAAGGTCCGAGGCGCGCTCACCCCCCGCGAATGGATAACGGTCGGATGCCTCGCCGCCGCGATCTGCGGGCTGCACGTGATTGGCTGGGGCACGCTGATCGTGTTTGTGGTGCCCGGGCATTACGCCTTGGCCGGCGGGGGCGGCACGTTCGGCGTGGGTCTGGGAGTGACGGCGTACATGCTGGGCATGCGGCACGCGTTCGACGCAGACCACATTGCAGGTATGTGCTTGCAGGTACGTGCAGAGAGAGAGAGCGAGGTGACTTTTAAGTCACTGTCCCCTGTGGCTGGCCCCTGTGGCTCCGCCCTAATCCCTCCTCCCCCGCCTCCTTCTCTCCACCCCCTTTGAATCGCTTGCCCCATCCCCTGCATTGTCCAATCAGCGATCGACAACACGACGCGCAAGTTCCTAGCGGAGGGGAGGAGGACGCTCACAGTGGGCTTCTGGTTCGCCCTCGGCCACTCCTCCGTCGTCTTCCTCGCCGCCCTCATCATTGCCGCAGGCTTTAAGGCCTTCGCAGGAGAGGTAAACATCGGGCTTTAAGGCCTTTGCGGGACAGGTAAGCATCGGGCTTTAATGCCTCCTGGTGGGAGTCTGGTTCGCCCTCGGCCACTCCTCCGTGGTCTTTCTCGCCGCGCTAATCATTGCTGTGGGCTTTAAGGCCTTTGCGGGACAGGTGAATGATTGTGTGTGGTTTTCCTCACCGCGCTAATCATTGCTGTTGGGCTTTAAGGCCTTTGCTGGAGAGGCATCCAGTTGAATATCAGTCCAACAATATGACCTCATTAAGAAAAAGTGCTGCAATTTATGTGTGCATATGTACGTTTGTACAGTACACGTGTATATATATAGTGTATTTGTGCGTACTATATCTACACCCACATCAGGTGCAATCGGAGGAGTCACAGCTGCATGTGATTCTCGGCCTCGTGGGTGCACTCGTCTCCAGCCTCTTCCTGCTGCTTATAGGCGCCATCAACCTCCTCGTTTTAATCCACCTCGTTAAGGTGTGTATGTAGTGATATCGGTTCACCATATCTTATTCTTAACCCTCTTCCTGCTGCTTATTGACGCCACCAACCTCCTCGTTTTAATCCATCTCGTTAAGGTGCGTGTCTGGTGGTATTAGCTCCCCAGATGTACTGTTCTAACCCTCTTCCTGCTGCTTTTTGCTGCAATCCTCCTTGCTACCTGGGACGGGTGGCAGCACTCATAAAGCACCCGCCCCAGATGTACCTGCTGGACCTCCTCTTCGGGCTCGGCTTTGACACCACCACGGCCCACCCCTCTCAACCCCTCCCCACCCCTCTCCACCGCTCCCGGCCGCTCTCCACGCCCCCAGGTTTTCCGTGCAACACGCAACGGCACAGCCAGAGAAACAGACCTAGCGGACCTAGCAGCACTCATAAAGCACCCGCCCCAGATGTACCTGCTGGGGTTCCTCTTTGGGCTGGGCTTTGACACCGCCAGGCCACGACCCCTCTCCACCCCTCTCCACCCCTCCCCACCTCCAGGTTTTCCGTGCAACACGCACTGGCCCAGCGAGGGAGGCAGACCTAGCGGACCTAGCCCTACAGGGAGGGATGTTCGGCCGCTGTGTGGGGCGCATCGCATCACTCATAAAGCACCCGCCCCAGATGTACCTGCTGGGGTTCCTCTTTGGCCTTGGCTTTGACACCGCCACGGAGGTGGCTCTGCTCTTCATGGCTGCTGGCGCCGCTTCCTCCGGCCTCCCTTGGTTCGCCATACTCTGCCTTCCTGTCATCTTCGCCGCCGGTAAGGCCTGCCTTCCTGCCCTGCCCTGCCCTGCCTTGCCCTGCCTTGCCTGTATCTCGCAGCCCTGCCTTTGTAACTCTTGTATGCGCGTGCCTTGACTAAGGAGCCGCTGTGTAGGCCCAGTGGGGTTCCTCTTTGGGCTTGGCTTTGACACCGCCACGGAGGTGGCTCTGCTTTTCATCGCTGCTGGCGCCGCCTCCTCGGGCCTTCCTTGGTTCGCGATACTCTGCCTGCCCGTCATATTCGCTGCTGGTACGCACCTGCCCTGCCCTACCCTGCCTGTAGCCTGTAGCCCGTATCCCTTCCACTGCCCTGCCTTCATCACTCGGGGGTGGCTCTGCTCTTCATCGCTGCTGGGGCCGCCTCCTCCGGCCTCCCCTGGTTCGCCATTCTCTGCCTGCCCATCATATTTGCTGCTGGTACGCACCTGCCCTGCCCAGCCCTGCCCTGCCCTGTCTGTGTGCTGTATCGACGCATAGACACCATAGACGGTTCATTCATGAACTTCGCATGCACGGAATGTTCTCAATTGTGCATTACCTCTCCCCACCACTCCCCACTCCTCTCCTCTCCCCATTTCCCCCCCAGGCATGACCCTGTTGGACACCATAGACGGATCATTCATGAACTTCGCCTACAGCTGAGCTTTCTCTTCAACTGCACGCTCTCAACCGTGCAACACCACTCTGAACTCCTCTCCAATCCCTCTCTGCACAGGCATGACCCTACTGGACACCATAGACGGTTCATTCATGAACTTCGCCTACAGCTGGGCCTTCTCTTTCCCGCGAATGCTGACCTGGGCTTCCCTTCCCTCTCCCCTCCACCTCTCTCTCCTCCACTCCACTCCACTCGCCACCCCTCTCCTCTCCTGCTCCCCCCAGGCATGACCCTACTAGACACCATAGACGGATCATTCATGAACTTCGCCTACAGCTGGGCCTTCTCCTTCTCCTTCACCTTCAGATTCACAACCGTGCAATACCTCTCACCACCACTCCCCACCCCTCTCCATTCCCCCACTTACAGGCATGACCCTACTGGACACCATAGACGGATCATTCATCAACTTCGCCTACAGCTGGGCCTTCTCTTTTCCGCGAATGCTGACCCTCGCATTCCCTTCCCTCTCCTCCCCATCCAATCCACTCCACTCCCCACCCCTCTCCTCTCCGCCTTCCTACAGGCATGACCCTACTAGACACCATAGACGGATCATTCATGAACTTCGCCTACAGCTGGGCCTTCTCCTTCCCGCTAAGAAAGCTCTTCTTCAATATTGTCATCACCGGCTTGTCCGTTATGGTGGCGCTGCTTATAGGGGGGATAGAGCTTTTGCAGGTAAGCGTGAGCCGACTTCATGGTGAGAATACACCGACTGTGATGGTACAATGGTGGTGGAACTGCTAATAGGGGGGATAGACCTTCATTTCTCTTCAGGTGGGTATGGGCTTGTCAGGAATTACCATCATGTGCGAAATAGTCGGAAGAGGACACCAGTTAGGCGCCATTGAACTCAATTGCGCCTAACTGGTGTCCTCTTCACGTGGGTATGGGCTAGTCAAGAATTACCATCATGGGCATTTTATTATCTTAAAGGCACCTCGAGAGAGAGAGGGATGTAAGGGAAGGGGAGGTGGCATTATTTTATCGCGCCACAGCACATCTCATCCCATTCAATCCACCATCTTTGTCTCCTGCCCTCCCTCCCTGCATCCATAACTGCAGTTGGTCATTGAGAAGGCAGGATGGGAGGGGCAGCCTTGGGACTCAATAGCGGGGATGGACCTCAACATTCTAGGATTCGTTATAGTGGGCCTCTTTTTCCTTACGTGGATGGTTGCTCTTGCCGTCTGGCACTTGATGCAATATGAGACATCGCCTGACATGTAACACTCTTTCTTTTTTTTGGTCCATTTGACCTTATATGCATCAAGGCCGCACAGAATGGATCTCTCAAGATTCTTTAAGAATGGCACGTATGGTATACTGTGAAGGTTTCTGTTCACACAAGGGCAGGGAGGGGGGAGGCGGGGCAATGCGGGGAGGGCAGCGGGGGGCCTTGGAGCTTGTAAGGAATATATTTGTGCATAGAGCATGAGCGGCAGGAGAGGACGACGCAAGCGTGCATGTAGGAGTATGCTAATGGCATGGGGAAAGGCATGATGAAGTCTCAAGTTCAGCATAATGCTGTGTACCATATAAAAGAGCACTACACTTCACATCCTATCCCTGTCCAGTGAATGAATATATGGCAGGTGTGCATGCTAATCGGCACCGTATCAGGACATCAAATGCGCCGAATAGTAGTTGTTTTACTTCCACAAAACCGGCTTTTCATTGTAGGCCGAACCGAATCACTCAAACCACTGTAGATTGTTCTAAACTAAAAGTATGAAATGACTCTATGTATCTGGGTTGAGTTGAGTCCCATCACATATAATCACGTCCATGCAGCCTTTGCAGAGAAATCATCTGCTACGCCAAGCAGGGGCAGGCAGGAGGAATGTGGGGCGCGGAAGGGCGGGAGGAACATGGGGCGGAGACAAAAAGAGGGTGGAGGACAGGAGTGGGTATGAGAGGGGAGGAGAGGGGTGGAGTGGGGTGGAGTGGGGTGGAGTGGGGTGGAGTGGGGTGGAGTGGGGCGGAGAGGGGTGGGAAAGGATGGAGACGGGTAAGCACAGAGCAGCACATTGGGGATGAAAAATACAGTCTGAGAAGCTGGAGGTAATGCCCTGTGTCTCTAACAACCACTACCAGATCACTAAGCTATCTTACCACTCACTCACTAACTCGCTCACTCCCTCACACACTCACTCGCTAACTCACTCACTCACTGACTCACCGACAGCAGGACTGTCAGCACTCATGAGCAGCACTTGCGCCGTCCGCACACTCTGAGGCCGCCACGCCCACAGCAGCAGCCGCCACGCGTGCGGCACGGCCCCCATACAGCCCTACCCAATCCCCGGGCTACCAACGACCTGAAGAGCACCAGAATCACTCACCAACAGCAGGAGTGTCAGCATTCATGAGTAAGACTTGAGCCGTCCGCACACTCTGAGGCCGCCACGCCCACAGCAGCAGCCGCCACGCGTGCGGCACGGCCCCCATACAGCCCTACCCAATCCCCGGGCTACCAACGACCTGAAGAGCACCAGAATCACTCACCAACAGCAGGAGTGTCAGCATTCATGAGTAAGACTTGAGCCGTCCGCACACTCTGAGGCCGCCACGCCCACAGCAGCAGCCGCCACGCGTGCGGCACGGCCCCCATACAGCCCTACCCAATCCCCGGGCTACCAACGACCTGAAGAGCACCAGAATCACTCACCAACAGCAGGAGTGTCAGCATTCATGAGTAAGACTTGAGCCGTCCGCACACTCTGAGGCCGCCACGCCCACAGCAGCAGCCGCCACGCGTGCGGCACGGCCCCCATACAGCCCTACCCAATCCCCGGGCTACCAACGACCTGAAGAGCACCAGAATCACTCACCAACAGCAGGAGTGTCAGCATTCATGAGTAAGACTTGAGCCGTCCGCACACTCTGAGGCCGCCACGCCCACAGCAGCAGCCGCCACGCGTGCGGCACAGCCCCCATACAGCCCTACCCAATCCCCGGGCTACCAACGACCTGAAGAGCACCAGAATCACTCACCAACAGCAGGAGTGTCAGCATTCATGAGTAAGACTTGAGCCGTCCGCACACTCTGAGGCCGCCACGCCCACAGCAGCAGCCGCCACGCGTGCGGCACGGCCCCCATACAGCCCTACCCAATCCCCGGGCTACCAACGACCTGAAGAGCACCAGAATCACTCACCAACAGCAGGAGTGTCAGCATTCATGAGTAAGACTTGAGCCGTCCGCACACTCTGAGGCCGCCACGCCCACAGCAGCAGCCGCCACGCGTGCGGCACGGCCCCCATACAGCCCTACCCAATCCCCGGGCTACCAACGACCTGAAGAGCACCAGAATCACTCACCAACAGCAGGAGTGTCAGCATTCATGAGTAAGACTTGAGCCGTCCGCACACTCTGAGGCCGCCACGCCCACAGAAGCAGCCGCCACGCCCACAGCAGCAGCCGCCACGCGTGCGGCACGGCCCCCATACAGCCCTACCCAATCCCCGGGCTACCAACGACCTGAAGAGCACCAGAATCACTCACCAACAGCAGGAGTGTCAGCATTCATGAGTAAGACTTGAGCCCTCCGCACACTCTGAGGCCGCCACGCCCACAGCAGCAGCCGCCACGCGTGCGGCACGGCCCCCATACAGCCCTACCCAATCCCCGGGCTACCAACGACCTGAAGAGCACCAGAATCACTCACCAACAGCAGGAGTGTCAGCATTCATGAGTAAGACTTGAGCCGTCCGCACACTCTGAGGCCGCCACGCCCACAGCAGCAGCCGCCACGCGTGCGGCACGGCCCCCATACAGCCCTACCCAATCCCCGGGCTACCAACGACCTGAAGAGCACCAGAATCACTCACCAACAGCAGGAGTGTCAGCATTCATGAGTAAGACTTGAGCCGTCCGCACACTCTGAGGCCGCCACGCCCACAGCAGCAGCCGCCACGCGTGCGGCACGGCCCCCATACAGCCCTACCCAATCCCCGGGCTACCAACGACCTGAAGAGCACCAGAATCACTCACCAACAGCAGGAGTGTCAGCATTCATGAGTAAGACTTGAGCCGTCCGCACACTCTGAGGCCGCCACGCCCACAGCAGCAGCCGCCACGCGTGCGGCACGGCCCCCATACAGCCCTACCCAATCCCCGGGCTACCAACGACCTGAAGAGCACCAGAATCACTCACCAACAGCAGGAGTGTCAGCATTCATGAGTAAGACTTGAGCCGTCCGCACACTCTGAGGCCGCCACGCCCACAGCAGCAGCCGCCACGCGTGCGGCACGGCCCCCATACAGCCCTACCCAATCCCCGGGCTACCAACGACCTGAAGAGCACCAGAATCACTCACCAACAGCAGGAGTGTCAGCATTCATGAGTAAGACTTGAGCCGTCCGCACACTCTGAGGCCGCCACGCCCACAGCAGCAGCCGCCACGCGTGCGGCACAGCCCCCATACAGCCCTACCCAATCCCCGGGCTACCAACGACCTGAAGAGCACCAGAATCACTCACCAACAGCAGGAGTGTCAGCATTCATGAGTAAGACTTGAGCCGTCCGCACACTCTGAGGCCGCCACGCCCACAGCAGCAGCCGCCACGCGTGCGGCACGGCCCCCATACAGCCCTACCCAATCCCCGGGCTACCAACGACCTGAAGAGCACCAGAATCACTCACCAACAGCAGGAGTGTCAGCATTCATGAGTAAGACTTGAGCCGTCCGCACACTCTGAGGCCGCCACGCCCACAGCAGCAGCCGCCACGCGTGCGGCACGGCCCCCATACAGCCCTACCCAATCCCCGGGCTACCAACGACCTGAAGAGCACCAGAATCACTCACCAACAGCAGGAGTGTCAGCATTCATGAGTAAGACTTGAGCCGTCCGCACACTCTGAGGCCGCCACGCCCACAGCAGCAGCCGCCACGCGTGCGGCACGGCCCCCATACAGCCCTACCCAATCCCCGGGCTACCAACGACCTGAAGAGCACCAGAATCACTCACCAACAGCAGGAGTGTCAGCATTCATGAGTAAGACTTGAGCCCTCCGCACACTCTGAGGCCGCCACGCCCACAGCAGCAGCCGCCACGCGTGCGGCACGGCCCCCATACAGCCCTACCCAATCCCCGGGCTACCAACGACCTGAAGAGCACCAGAATCACTCACCAACAGCAGGAGTGTCAGCATTCATGAGTAAGACTTGAGCCGTCCGCACACTCTGAGGCCGCCACGCCCACAGCAGCAGCCGCCACGCGTGCGGCACGGCCCCCATACAGCCCTACCCAATCCCCGGGCTACCAACGACCTGAAGAGCACCAGAATCACTCACCAACAGCAGGAGTGTCAGCATTCATGAGTAAGACTTGAGCCGTCCGCACACTCTGAGGCCGCCACGCCCACAGCAGCAGCCGCCACGCGTGCGGCACGGCCCCCATACAGCCCTACCCAATCCCCGGGCTACCAACGACCTGAAGAGCACCAGAATCACTCACCAACAGCAGGAGTGTCAGCATTCATGAGTAAGACTTGAGCCGTCCGCACACTCTGAGGCCGCCACGCCCACAGCAGCAGCCGCCACGCGTGCGGCACGGCCCCCATACAGCCCTACCCAATCCCCGGGCTACCAACGACCTGAAGAGCACCAGAATCACTCACCAACAGCAGGAGTGTCAGCATTCATGAGTAAGACTTGAGCCGTCCGCACACTCTGAGGCCGCCACGCCCACAGCAGCAGCCGCCACGCGTGCGGCACGGCCCCCATACAGCCCTACCCAATCCCCGGGCTACCAACGACCTGAAGAGCACCAGAATCACTCACCAACAGCAGGAGTGTCAGCATTCATGAGTAAGACTTGAGCCGTCCGCACACTCTGAGGCCGCCACGCCCACAGCAGCAGCCGCCACGCGTGCGGCACGGCCCCCATACAGCCCTACCCAATCCCCGGGCTACCAACGACCTGAAGAGCACCAGAATCACTCACCAACAGCAGGAGTGTCAGCATTCATGAGTAAGACTTGCGCCGTCCGCACACTCTGAGGCCGCCACGCCCACAGCAGCAGCCGCCACGCGTGCGGCACGGCCCCCATACAGCCCTACCCAATCCCCGGGCTACCAACGACCTGAAGAGCACCAGAATCACTCACCAACAGCAGGAGTGTCAGCATTCATGAGTAAGACTTGAGCCGTCCGCACACTCTGAGGCCGCCACGCCCACAGCAGCAGCCGCCACGCGTGCGGCACGGCCCCCATACAGCCCTACCCAATCCCCGGGCTACCAACGACCTGAAGAGCACCAGAATCACTCACCAACAGCAGGAGTGTCAGCATTCATGAGTAAGACTTGAGCCGTCCGCACACTCTGAGGCCGCCACGCCCACAGCAGCAGCCGCCACGCGTGCGGCACGGCCCCCACCCGCCACCCCATCTCGCACCCGTCGGAGATGCTCGGCACACACCGCACCACGCGTAACCGCGTTACCGCGTGCCGTAACCGCGGCGACAGCCAGTGCATGCGCGTGGTGTTTATCCAACCAGAGGGGGAGGAGGGGAGCGAGCGGCGGAGGGAGCGGCGGAATCGGTCGAACATGTGGAGAGCCGTGTGGTCCGGGTCGGTGTGCCGAACGTACATCCAGGCTCGGAAGTACCGGGCCGAACGGACGCAGGGCCGGGAGGGAGGTTCGGCGGCGGAGGAGGAGGAGGATGGTGAGGATGAGGATGATGAGGAGGAGGGAGGGAAGGGCGTTAGTAGCGTGCCCTGAGGTTGGGTTGCAGCGGGGTTACTTTTTTGGCTTGGAGAAGACGAGGAGGAGGAGGAGGAGGAGGAGGAGGAGGAGGAGGAGGAGGAGGAGGAGGAGGAGGAGGAGGAGGAGGAGGAGGAGGAGGAGGAGGAGGAGGAGGAGGAGGAGGAGGAGGAGGAGGATGATGATGAGAGGTTAGAAGCCGAAACGGAGGAGAGCAAAGGTGGAAAGAAGCATTTCTCCTCCACAACCACTGACAGCCCATCAAACAAACTCGACTCCAACACCGTCTTCCCCGCCCCTCCCGTCCGCTTGCTCCTGTCCCCGCCCCCTCTCAACCCCGTCCCCTCCTCCACCCCTCCCTCACTCCCCCCCATCCACCACCCGTTATCCTCCTCCCCCTTTCCCCCACTGCCCCCCAACCCCTCCCCACCTGCCCCAGAAAAAACCTGCATTTCCAATTCAACCAGCAGGAATGGATGGTATAGCCTCATTAAAAAGGGTAATTCGGGGGCGCGCCTTCCGGGATGCTTCTCCCCATGTTTGACCACTCCGTGCCGAATCATGAACAGTTGTCCGTCTCGTAGCGACGCCGCCCGCCACAGATCCTCCACCCGATTCACCCGCAGGCTCGGGTACTCCTCGGCTCGGCCGAACCACAGCTCCGGCTCTCCCCGAACCTCAGCCTCGGTAGTGCCGGCACTACTGCCATTCCTACTGCCAGAGAGAGCCACTTTCTTCCCACCAGCAGCAGCAGCAGCAGCAGCGGCGGCAGCACTGGCAGCGGCGGCAGTTTTGGCATTTTCTGCCAAAGCATCTGGCAGCGTTGCCAGTCGGTCGACAAACGGAATAAACCGGGGGGCAACAGCCATCCAGGGGATGGGGATCTGGCACAGCGTCCTGTCTCTGACGTGGCAGGCGGCGGGTGGTGCGGGCGGCAGGGGCTGCCAGGCTGGCAGGTGGCGCATCTGGAAGCGGTTGAAACCGACCAATGAGAAGAAAGCGAGGACGAGCTGAGCCTGCTCTGATTGGCTCTTGGGAATGAGAAAACGGGCAGTAGGAGTGGCTGCTGCTGCTGCTGCTGCTGCTACTACTGCTGCTGTCAAGACTAGTAGCCTTTCCTCCTGCCTCTACTCCCCCTTTCCCTGCCTTACCCTCCTCCCCACCACCACCACCACCATCACTCCCACTACCTGAATCCTTCTCCTCCCACCCTTCCTCATCCCCCTCCTGAGCCTCTGTGGTCCACACATGGCCCCTTAGAGTCGCGTCCACGAACCCTCTACACTGCTGCCCCGTTATAATCCCCCACTTGTGCCGCAGAAACACCTGATTGGCCGAGCACACATCGGCGCCGCTCTGCCTTGCAAAGTAGATCAAATCACGCGCTCCCACGCTGGAAGACGGGTGGTGATACACCACAATAGACTGCGGCACTAAGTAAGACTTGTAGTTAAAATACCTTGTCGTAAGCGCCAAATCCAGATCCTGACGGGTGTACCCGACCCTAGGGTCGAACAGAACAGCTTCGGAAAGAAACGACTGCCGAACCAGCATGCAGTGGTCCTCCACGCCTACCGGAGATTCCCGAGGCTCCAGCAGGCTCGGGTCCCTGGTGCCTGCCACGTGGACGTCTTCTATTGGCTGTGGGTAGAGCTTCCCATCGTTACTGTAGTCGTCAAATATCATGTCTGAGGCGAAGGCTGCGTGGGCTTTAAGGCCCTCTTGCTTCGCCACTGACCCGCTGCCCATGCTGCTCCCCCCAGCACCACCACCACCACCACCACCACCACTAGTAGCCGCCACACCAGCACCACTACCAGCACTACCAGCACCACCACCAGCAGCAATACCAGCAGTGCCAGCACCAGTGGCTGCACCTGCAGCAGCACCAGCACCGAGCCTACCACCCAGGTTCGTCGCACCACCGTACGTCACCGCCCCTCTCACCCTCCCCCCCCCGCCCCTCCCCCTACCCCCGCCCCTCTACTAAGCCCCCCCGCCCTGAGCTTCGCCCCTCCGCCCCCCCCATCCCCCCCCCACTCCCATATAAACGGCAGGAAGATCACCCCTTCTGGATGCTTCTCAGCGAATCTGAACAGGTGCTGCAGCCAGTTGGGTCGATAGGGGAACACGTCAGAGAACACAAAGAGCGCATACTTAGTGTGGATTAACTCTGACGACGCGTTTCGCATTAAGTATCCGCTCGCGTATTCGTCCTCCATTTCCTTAACGAGTATTCTCCTCCCTCCCCGAGCTTCCTCCCCCTTCCCCCGCCCCTTCCCCCTGCCCTTCTGCCTCCGCCTATTCCCTCCGCCACCATTCCCCCTAACAACATCCTGATCCTCAAACCCTAATCCGCCGCCCGCTGCCCCCCCCGCGCCTGCGCCTCCCCCTGCGCCGCCCCAGCCCCCCCACATCCCCCGCGCGCCCTCCGCTTGCCTGCGCCTGACGTGAGCGCGCGTGCGCGCGTCCATTGCGCCGGGGATCATGTATATCACGGGGCAGGGGGGAGTGGTCGCGAGAATCGCGTCTAGCTGCGCGGCTGCTGTTCCGAACGTGTGCTTTGCGCTGATCACTATAGTCACATCGCGAGCCAGCCGCTCGTTTAGAGCACGGTCCACGTCAGCATTGCCGTGTAAGCCCTGGTTCCCGGAGCCAATCAGAGACGCGGGCAAGCTTCTCGCGCTGGCGCCTCCTGATTGGTCCAGTTTTCCGCCATTCCCCCCCGCTACCTCCCCTTCTCCCCCATCATACCCTAACCGCATAAGCCTCCGCCGTTCCGCCAGGCTCTCCCCCCCGCTGCTGCTCCCCGCGCTCCCTGCTCCGCCTACGCCCTTCCCGCCACCAATAAGGCTTCCCCTGATCCCCTGATCGGGGGAAGACCACAGCAGCTGCTGCGCGGATTCCCCCAGATCCCGCCAGCGTGATTTGCGCATCGCCGCGACGAGCAGATCGTCGATCGCCGCCGCGGCTCTACCGGAATCCCCCCAAAACGCCTTCCCGGCGGAACCCCCCGCCGATCCCCCCCCGGTTTCCCTCCCGCTGCCACTGCTTCCGCGGCTGCTGCCGAACCTGATGGAGAATTCACCCGCTGCCGAACCGAATCCCGAACCTCCTTCCCCGTTCCCCGTCGCGCCGCCATCTAATCTTATGTCGAGGACTGAGTACAAAAACACGCACGCGACGCCGACCGCGAGGAAGAGCAGAAGGCGGCTCGAGGAGAGCGCGGAGGACATTAGGAGGCACACCCGGGGGAGGTAGCGTCTGGGGCGGGTCTTACTGGGGCTATGAAGCGGATGCTCTACCGATGATGGCTGATGGGGGGACTGGTGGCGGTGATGATGATGATGGTAGTGGAGCTTGACGCTCGGCCGGCCGTCCATCGCTGCCGTTGGATCTTGCAGGAGCTTTAAATCCGACCGTCCATTGTGACGGAGATTTCGAGAAGAGAGTCAACCAATGCCGTCCATTGCAATGGGCGGAATCAGGAGCTGGCTAACGGAGAAGCATGATGGGTAGACGATAAGGTTTTCTAACCTAAACCCTGCTGGATCGTCGAGACACTTGAAATTAGAGGCAATAGTGCTGGCAGATGAAATGGTCCGTGCGATCACGGTGTGGCCGAAGCGCCACCCGTCAGACCGTGCTTGAATCTGGTGGAACGCGGGAACGACAAATTGTAAGGGGTCGCGATCAACAAAGCTATAAGTACGCGTAATTGTCAGTAAGCAGCCAATCACCGTGCGGACGCTACTAATTGATGCAGGAGCCTCCTAAGATAAGTCAACTTACAAGGTTCCGTTCCGTCTCACCTAATTATCATAGAACCGCCAATTAGGATTAGCTGAAAGACGGCCCAGTTTGACCCTGTGGTTACCACACTCTCCCACCTGAACCTCGCTTTTCGCTAGCGACCAAGTGCAGCAACATTTTGCGAACCGACCAGATGATTTTCGGCGGCGAATTGGCAGTCGAGCTGCTTTGATTCTCGCCAAGATTGGGTTCGCGTCGAATCCCGGAGGTCTGTGCGACCGCTGTAGGTGTTACCAGCTGCCGTGATGTCGCAGAGCATGTGGTCAGCAAACTAGACCTCCTCCGTATTCGTGGTGGGGATAGTTGCGATGCACATGGTGTTTCGCATATTCAACAGGCGAAGGTTGCCCACAGTAACGGAGAGCGGAAGCACCAGACCGAGGCGCAGGTTGTCTAGTATACGCGCTATAGGAAATCGACCCTTCATCAAGTGTACAATATTGCAGACTTCAAGCCATGACGGAATAACAAGCCACCTACACTCATCTAACAATGGTTCATCCAGCACCTTCATGTCAATCAATCAGTCAGTCAATAAGAAATAAGTCAATCCTGCCCTTATAAGGTTGCACATCAAACAGTCACCTCTAACTAATGCCTCCCCATCTTGTTGAGATCCTGAGCCGTCCACCCGATTATTCCGAACCCTCTAGTCGGGCTAAGAGGGGGGCTTGCCGGTGGAGTGGAGAACGGGCTACGACTGCCTTGATGCGTCTGATAAACATGATTGCCCATATTGCTGCCCATGCTGGGTGGCTGTCGAGTGTACACACTGACATTGCCAGTGTTCGACTGCTGATGGTGGTGGTATGCGCTGCCACCCATGCTTTGGCTGAGGTGGTTGTTTGGAGGCCCTGCTTGGCTGCCCACTGCTGCATTCATGGTCCGTCCCCATGGTTGGCGAGTTGACCTGCATACACACACATGCACATGCACGCAATGCCATGGTATTAGTTGTAATATAGTCAAGATTAGCCTTCACTTCACATTTGATATTAATCAGATGTTTCCATGACTCTCAGAATGGCGTTTTGCAGTTGCACTCTCGGCTAAACAAAAGGCAACGTGGCTCACATGGAGAGGCAGGACTCGTTGGAGGAGATGCTGCCATTCCTCAGCTTGGACAAGTTTAAGTCCTGCTGCAATGCATGCAACACACACACCACCGACACACACACGGGCACACACACGGGCACGACGAGCAAACAAACGTTCAGCCAGAGGCAGTGGGATTCACATTCATGCTCCGCATACAGCGAGCGTGCCCTACCAAATCTGTTTCCCACAGCCTGCAGTCACAATGCATATCTTCCCCAGCACCCTTTTGTCCCTACCCTACTCGCTCACAAGTACACCCTCCCCCCCCCTGCATACCTCGGATCGCATGCTGGACGTGCGGCTGCAGGAGCGACTCTGAGAGCTGCCCGTGCCGCTCACAATGCTCCCAGCCGCTGCTGCAATGGCCGCTGCAGTCGCTGCATTCATGTTCGTGTGGCTGCCGTGGCTGACGTGGCTCCCATGGCTGACGTGGCTCCCATGGCTGACGTGGCTCCCATTGGCGCCATGATTGCCATGCATTGCACCGCCCTGTACTCCACCGCCCTGCATCGCACCGCTGCCGACAGCACTGAATCCCCCCATTGACATTCCCACCATTCCCACTCCTCCCATGCTCCCAGGCAGCCCACCACCAGCACCTGCCGAACCTCCCCTGGACGCTACCGAGCCTGCTCGAGATGCCGAGCCTGCAGCACTGGACGAACCAGCCAAGGAGGAGCCACTGGTGGTGCTGGTGGCTGGACCACTGTTCTGCACATGCTGCTGCTGCTGCTGCTGCTGCTGCTGCTGCTGCTGGAAGCTCTGTCGGGCTATTTTCCCTTCCGACCCTTTGCTTGGGCCGACAAAGAAAGCTTGACCAACTGCTGCTGCAGAGCCAGCTGTGGTGCTGCCAGCAGCATCGCGTGTGGGTGTGGTGGGGCGAGACCCTGCTCCTCGTGCTCCTGCTGATCCCAACACTGCCTGCCCTGCTGCTGCTGTAGGCGCCGTTGCTGCCCCTGCCGCTGCATTGCTTTTCCCAGTGGCGTTACCACCACCACCACCAGCAGCAGCACCACCACCTGCCGCCGCAGCAGCAGCAGCGGCGCGTTTCTGTCTCCTGAGCGCCTGCTGCTGCAGCTGGTGCTGCTTGAGCTGCTGGTAGAACTGCTGCTGCAGGTAGTGCGGGCTCTTCTTCATCTGTGCTTCCATGTGCGCCTGCAGCTGCTCCTGCGCCCCCAGCTCCCTCTCCCCCTCCTCTTTCTCCTTCTCCTGTTGGGACTTCAGCCCCCCTTGACCCTGTGCCTTGGCCACCACCCCCTGCGCTTGTGTTTTCTGTGCTCCCGCCTGCCCCTGCCCCTGTTTCACTGCTGTGGTTTTGGCAGCAACGGGGCTTTTGAGAATGCCTGGTCGCTGGACGAGCACCTGGCTGGGCCTGCCTTGCCCTGCCTTCTGCCCTGCCTTCACCTGCAGCTGCTGCCCCGGCTTCCTGTGCTGCTGCTGCTGCTGCTGCTGCTGCTGCTGCTGCTGCTGCTGCTGCTGCTGCTGCTGCTGCTGCTGCTGCTGCTGCTGTGAACGCGGAGACTTCAGCTGCTGCTGTTGCGTCCGGGGGGATTTGATCTGCTGCTGCTGCTGGCGCTGAATGACGTGGCGGATGGGGATTGGCTTGGGGGAGGTGGCGGCGGGGGAGATGGGGCTCATGGGGGAGGATGGGGAGGGGCGAGTGGGGGAGAGCGGGGAGAGGGGGGAGAGGGGGGTGCCACGGGACCCGATTCCCCTGGTTGGGGAGAGACGAGGAGTGGTTGGATTGGAGGAGTGTGGAGCAGTAGCAGCAGCATCACCACCAGCACCAGCACCTCCACCAACATCAGCACCAGCGGCTGCAGAACCAGCGTCAGCAGCAGCCCCAGTAGCAGCAGCGCCAGTAGCAGCAGCGCTAGGCATGGCTACATGGGGAGGAGGAAGCATTTCCCCGGACATCTGCAACGCGTTTTGCCCGGATCTGCTGCCTGCTACGGAACCAAGGGAACCCCGGACGGACGACGGAGAGGGCGGCCGCTGCAGGGGGTTATTACCATGCACAGAGGAACGCGTGGGATGCGAGGGATGCGGAGGAGTAGGGCCGGGGGAGGCAAGCGAGGGCAGGAGGTGAAGGGAGTTATGCACAGACGCGCAGGGGGAGGGGATGGCGGAGGAGAGGAGGGCGCTGGAACGTTCCTCCGAGATGGCGTCTAGAGCCATGCCGGGTGGTAACCGGCCCGTAACCGCTGCGTAGTTGAGAGCGCGGATGATTGGGTCAATCTTGCTAGGCGAGGAGGAAGGGGAGGCTGCAGCGCTGCTGTTGCTGCCACCACGCCTGGTGTTGGGAGTGTTGGGAGTGTTTGGGGTGTTTGGGGTGTTTGGGGAGCCGCAGTTGCTGCTGGGGCTGCTGCTGCTGCCGGTTCTTTGGGGGCTGTTGAAGGCTTTTGGGGCGGTTCTGAGGCTGGTCAAGGGGCTGACAGGGGTGGAGAACGGTGCTCTGCTGTGGGGTCCGATGGGTGAGTTACTTCCGTTGGTGGGACGGAGGGTGGGGCTGGTGGGCTTGAGCAGAGTGGCAGGGTCGAAAGAGGATGGGATAGGCAGAGGGGGAGGGCTGCTGCGACCATTCCACCAGTTTGAATGGTGCCCTGCTCCCCCTGCAGTCGCTGCTGTTGATGCTGCTGCGCCTCCTTCCTTGGGCTTTCCTGTTTTTCCAAGGATCCCCCCACCATGCCCGCCGTAAGCCGAAGCTACAGCAGCACCAGCAGCAGCAGCAGCAGCAGCACTCGCGGCACTAGCAGCACCCGCACTGCCTATCTTTGCCTGTGCTGACACTTCCCCCTTTTCTCTCCCACCTCCATCCTCGCTCCCCTCGTTCGTCTCTCTCTTCTTATCACCACCTCCGCTGCTATCACACGAAACCTCTCTCCTATGCCCCCCTCCTTGGGTCTTCTCTACACCACTGCCATCATGGCTCCATTCCCTCCTTCCCTGTCCCCTCCCCGCTCCCCCACCGTCCACGCCCTCACTCAGATTCTCCCAAGGCTCTGCACTTTGCTTCTGCCAGCCCTCAATGCCAACAGCACCATCCGACATGGTCCGTGCGGGACCTTTTTTACCTGCACCCGGGACCAGGGAAAGCTCTTGTTGCTGTTGGTGAAGATGGAGGTTCCGTGAGTTACCGCTGCCAGTAATGCTCTTTTTTGCCCTCTGGAAGAGCCTTTGAAACATGCTCTGCTTGCTGGTGGTGCTGCTGCTGGTGCTGCTGCTGGTGCTGCTGCTGGTGCTGCTGCTGGTCATGCTTGTGCTTATTGCGGGTGTGACTGTGGCCGCCCTCGTTAAACTCACCGTGGCTGTAGTAACGCCTGTGGCTGCTGCTGCTGCTGTTCTCAGTCGTTTCACCTCCGTTATAGTCACAGCCGCTGCCTAGAGTCACCAGCATTGCGTCATTCACGTCAGCAGACACAGAGCGGCGAAGCCTGCTGCTGCTGCTGCCTCCGACCATTCCAGCATTCGTCGCAATTCCTGTTTCTGGATCTTGCGCACTCCCAATTTTCCACTGCTGCTGCGCCTGCCATTCCTGCTGCCGCTGCCGTTCCTGCTGCTGCTGCTGCTGGGGTTGCGGTTCCATCCCGTGTGGCATAAGCATTGCTTCCCCGCACCTCTCCCACTCAACGTCGTCCCCACTCTTCCCCCGCAACACATTCTGCCGTTGAAGCGACGGAGCCTCACGTTCCCCCGCCCCAACCGTCGCTTGGCCGCGAGTTTCCTCCACCGTAGCGGCGAGCGGCGTTGCGCCGGGGTTCCGCCTTCCCCCCAGACTAGCGCTGCGACACAGGGACTCCCCGAGCGATCCCCGCACATCCGCCCCCTCTTCTCCGCATTCCCCGCCTTCCCCGACTCCTCCGCCCGCAGCCGCCCGGCAGCTGCTTCCGAACGATGCCGATCGGCGCAACGCGCCTCCACTTCCCCGCACGCCTTCCATCTCAATCTCCTCATCGATATCATCGCCAAAGATATTATCCCCCGTCTCCACCGTCTCCGCGCGCCTCAAGGGTAAATTACCCTCTTCATCATCCTCCTCCGCTTCTCCTCCTGTTCCACCTCTCCGCCTTCCGCTGCCGCCGCCGCTGCCGCTGCTGCCGGCGCTGCGGTCGCTGCGCTGTCGTGCGAGGGGCACGGAGGGCCCGTCGTCGTCTCGCAGCTCAGTGAACGTGTCGTCAACTTCCCCCTCCTCCTCCCCTTCCGATTCTCCCTCCTCCTCCTCGTCCTCCCTCTCCTTCTCCCCATTCGTTGCCTCAGCCTCCTCCCACTCCTCCTGTTCCTTCTCTTGCCCTGGCTGCATCTCCGTATTCTCACCCGCATCAGCGCAGCCCTCCTCTTCCCCGCACTCTCCGCCTTGCTGCAGCAAGCTGCTTCTTCTTCTCCTCCTCCTCTTCCTCCTCACGCTGCTTCTCGGCACGCGTCACTTCCTCATTGGCAGCAGCAACGCCCGCCGCCGGACTCCCTAAACCGGACCCTGCAGATTTATTCGAACCTGCCCGCCCTCTCAGAGCCGTTCCGGAGCTTCCCGGGCTGCCCGAAGAAAAACCAAGCGGACGCCGGGACATAGGACTAGTCGAGGACGCTCGGGCCGTCCGGGGAGATCTAGGCGTTCCGGGTGTATAAGGCGTATCGAGTGTACCGCCTACACCAGCCCTGTGCTTATCCGATACGCTCCTCGAGAGTCGTCCCCTCAAACCGCTGTTTCCGCCACTCGGGGAAGCAGCGCGCGGAGAAGACGCGCGGAAAGAGCCCGTGCGGGGGAAGGTACCTTTGCTGCTGTTTCCCCCGGGGGAAGCAGCGCGAGGGGAGGCAGCGCGCGGGGAAGCACCGCCCGGGGAAGCAGCGCGCGGGGAAGCAGCGCGGGGAGAGGCGGCAAGGCGATTGGTGGAGGAAGAAGAGCCAAAACCGGTCGCTGCTCCGCCGCTGCTGCTACGCCGCAACACGGGACTTGCGCTGCGCCCCCTTGCCGCGCCCGCCGCCTTCCCGCCGCTGCCCGCGCTGCTGGCGCGGGGAACAGCACCACCAGCGGCAGCGGCACCAGCAACCGCAGTCTTGTTCTTACCACCAGACGCCGCCGTACCAGTGTTGTTTGTAGCTCCGCAGGCGGACGGGGACGCGGCGGTATCTCTCTTTGCGCCCGTGTCTCTTTTTGCGCCTGCCTCTCCCCTTACGCCCGTCTCTCTCGCTTCCACCAGTGCCATCAGCTGTTCTATCTCCCCATCCCCCCCTTCTTCACTCCCCTTCTTCCCGTGCTTCTCATTGTTCTCTTCCTTCCCGTCTCTCCTCCCTTCGTCCTCATCAGACGCATTGGCCTCCATGCTTCCCTCCCCGGACTCGCCTCTGCTTTCCTCCCCCTCCGCTTCTTCCGCCTCGCCTTGCACCTCCTCCCCCTCGCGCCCGCTCACGCCCCCACTCCCGCCCACGCTCCCCCCTCTGCTCAGGCTCCCCACTCTTCCCCATGATCTTCCGCTTCCCCATGACCTTCCGCCAACACTCTTCTCCCCCGCAATCTCCGCTCCGCCTCCGCCTTCCGCCGTCCCCGAAGTCCCCAGCGCGCTCTGGCTCTTCAAATCCTCGCCGTCCATCGAATCCCAGGGCAGCGGGATGCCCTTGATTGGCGGCGGCCGTTTCTTATCCAGGCTCGGCCGACCCTGGTAGATTGGGGGTCGACTCGGCGTCGTAGGTTCGGCAGTTACAATTTGCTCCATCTTGATCGTTTTCGCCACGCCGTTCGCGTCCGTTACAGTCAGCCCCGTTACAATCATGTTGCCCGTCCGAAGCTTCGGATTCGGGCTCACACCAAGCCCGACAGGCGAATTCCCCGCAGGACCCGGCCCGTCATTCGCGCTTCGAGGAGCGATCGACGTTCCCCCCCGAACCGACTGCAGGTGGTTCGGCAGAGGACCGGAGAGAGGGCGCGAGAGGGAGAGCAGGAGCGAGAGCGGAGTTCCCGAGGAGCGTCTTAATCCGTCTTCTTCGTCTCCTAACTGCAACACGCCGAATTCGCTGGCGTTGATGCTGTAACGCGGCGAAGAGAGAGTGTGCACCCACTGCTCGCCACTCACCCACACCGGGTTACCACCACCACCGCTCGCCTTCGCCTCCGTGCCGTCGCCTTCGCCGTTCTTCGCCGCAAACGCGGCGGCCATGCGACGGGCGTAGGCAGACACCCCCTCGGCGCGCCCAAGGGAGACGGATCTCCTGAGGTTCGCGCCGCCCCCGCCGCCGACGCCGCCGGTACCGTTGCCGCCGTCTGGGCACGGACTGTCGGCGGCGGGCTCGATGAACGAAGCGCGGATGGACTGCGCGAGGAGCACCGGCGCAACCGGGTCGGGCGCGCGGGGAGATGCGCGCGGCGGGATGATTTTCAGATCGTGGTTGCTGCTGCGGAGATGCTTTACTTCGTTCCGCAGCCGCCGCCCTTCTTCCTCTTCCTCCTGCAGTCGTCTCTTCAGTTCTGCCACCTCATTGGCCAGCTCCTCCACGTGGCCCCACACCACGGAGCCGCTGCTGCTCCCGCCGCCGCCGCCGCCGGCCGCGGGGCCGTCTTTCGTGTCGTTTTTTACCCCCGAGGAGCCGGCCTGCGCTTCCTTCTCGTTCGTGCTGCAGCAAGACGCGACGGAAGATCCGGCGGGAATTGCGGCCATGGGGCCGAGGCCCCAGATCGGGTCGGCGTTTTCGTCGTCCTCGTCGTCGAAGTTGAGGTGACGTGGATGGTGGTGACGCTGACGTGGATCGTTGTGGTCGCAGCAGTGGTGGTGGGGCGAGTAGTGTTCGGGCGACGGGAGGTGGCAGCAGTCATTGTTGTTGCGTTCCTGGCCGTTAATCATGTTGTCGTTGATGTTGCTCGCGAAGAGTTCGCGATGGCGATCCCCTTTCACGATGTTCCAGCGACCGCGGATCGGCGACTTGTGACGCGGAGAAACAACATCCTGCGTAACGCGGGAGACGAAACACGCGTAGCGTAGACCATACAGCAGATAGGCACAGAAGGATGGGTGAGTCCTAGAGTGGAATAGCAAGTCTGTGCGTATGCACGAAAGGATAGTTAAAAGGGCATGCGGGACAAGGCCCAGTTAGAAAGAACGGAAGTGTGGGGAAAGGGAGGTAGAGGTCAAGAAGATGAGTGAAAGAGTTGACTGAAGAAAATCCACGAAAGAACACCGTTAAAAAAGGTCGTATAGCAAATTATTTCCACCACAATCAAGTGGATTCCGGTGATTCTAAAGCTTTCTGGAATCTGAATACTGTCACATCTCGCCGAGTCGGTCTCTTGGACGTTCGACAGACTCTTACTCATTAGGTCACTCAAAAATGGTGTCTCAGTGACTCACCCGGTTCGTTGACTTGGGCTGCAGAGCGCCAGCCATGGGACTGCTTCTCCTGCCGCCAAAGTCCATCGTTTCATTCTCTGCCACCGGCAGACTCCCGCCGAAACACGCCAAGAGACGCTTCCCGGACTTCGGAGTCCGGTTTTCTTTTCTTCTGCTGGACTGTTCTTTTCTCCCGCCTAGCGGGCTAAGGTTGCCCACTGGGCTCCACATGGTGATTCGATTATATGCCGCGCACAAAGAGGCTTGTGCACGGTGTCACTAAGTATCAACGAGTGTGTTCTAAGGTGGAATGGGATGAGATGTGGCTGGATATGAGCGCAACGCACGGTTGCATTTCGAGCTGGGTCTGGTATACTCCCAGTACCGGGAATTAATCTCAGAATGGAACTACCCAGTGTGTCTACTGCCCTGGCTTCCAGCTGTGGATTTCGATCAAATGATGAGACGTCGCAGCTACTACTAGCTAACTTCAGCCTACTGGACACATCTACACATCAGCAAGAAACTCTCGGCTCAAACTAGGGCATCTCTGGGCGGCAAGGAGATTCAAGTGAATGAACTTGTTCGGGGGTTCACTGGGGTTCGAGCTTCGCCTGGCCGTTGCGCTGTTTTCGTTCTGCTCTGCAATGAGGTTCGTTCGATTCGAATTTCAAGCCCCACGCATGGTTCTTTTCTCGAAGCGCGGTACCAGGTGAGGAGATTGAGGGAAATGGTGATGTGATCTCGCTTCAGTGCGCTTACATCAGGTTCAGTGCGTTATAGAAATCCTTGTATGGCATACGGGGAAAACTGATAAATTTGGCTTTCCGTGATGGGACACGATAGCTGGGGAGGGCACCTTGGGATTTGGCGGTTGGGATGATCCGAATGTGAAAACCTTGCGACCCAATGGCGATGAGTTGTACCTTGATGATTTTGGCGGGAATATTTCAATCAATTTCGAAATGTTGGCGGGTTCGATGTGCACCAGTGACCGTTTTCGTTTTGAAGTCAAGAGCTGCAGGTGCAGACTCGAGCCAAGTGATTCTCGCCATGGTCTCCCTCGACAAGAAAACATATACATGCACACAAGCGTAAGTTCTATATCTTCAGGATTCTGAAAAGTGTTGTTTGATTGGTTGCACGGTATCACACTTCATTCACGAAATGAAAGGCTGATGCTTTTTCGCGGAGCTACTAGACAGACTTCTGCGATCAAAATGTTACCGTGTGGAAAAGTCTTTGGTGCAAGGAGGCGCACAAAATGTGCCCTGAGTATTCTACACCGCCCGGAAAAGGTTTTGAACCAGCTGTGACCCATTTGTTTCCAGATTTCGAGCTTGATTTGTAAACCCTTCCCAATTCCTGATGTGTAGTGCTGACATCAGCAAAGCCTGCTCCCAGTCGTAAACGACGCGAAACTTCGAGTTCCATTGGCGAAACCTCCAGCGGGTTCATTCAGCGAGTCACGAGCGGCTGGCGGTTTTACAGCACAACTCCAAGGGCTGTGGCCAGCACGGACCTTCCCATTTAGCTGGGGACTTATGGCGGACCGTCCGCCATTGCGTGCCACGTGTACGAAGATTTATGTTCGCGTCCAGTGGTCGTGCAGGTCCGCTGCGACTTTACGGCAACTACCTTCAGAAAGCGCTGGCTTTTAGCAGCGAATGCATAGCCTAGCTGTGGCTTTACGTATGTACGGGTTCACGAACAGCTTTTGATCCATCGGATGCGGTCCGTAGGAGGGAATCGCGTTAGTCCATCATGTTTTGAGTTGACTTGAAACACGGTCCGTAGGAAGGAATCGTGTGGTTACATATACGCTGGACTCTCTGTCGCCGAGTACAAATGTGACGGCGCTTTCCTCCGTTCCCTTGCCTCCCGCCTTGTTTTCTTAGAGTGCTCAGGTAAAGTCGCTGATCCTCGGCGTTCCCTAGGTGGTGAATATCCGTGTTTTCGTAGATACTCACGTTCGTCATAGCCATCAGGGACGGAGCCGTCACGCCGTCGCGCCGAGCCGTCGTTCCCGGCGGGAGCCACGTTCAGTCCGCCAGTTCCCACGATCGCGATCAGTGAACAGAGAGCAGTGATGAGCGATTTGTGTTTTGTGGACCCTGATGAATGATCCAAGAGTAGTGTGAAACCCTTCAGGGACTGCTGAGCAGTGATTAGTGATGAGTGATCGGTCAGATTCCATCGTCAGCCATTCTCGTGGAGGACATTCGTAATAACCTCCACCAGCGCCTTACTATCGCGATCGACGGTTGAGATTTCATCTCCTCGGTTTCACGCAGCCATGATCGACGGCGGAAATGTGTACCGCGTGTTCTGCGCCATCGTGCCGCTGTACGTGGGCATCGGCTCGGGCTTCCTGTCGGTGCGCGTGTTCAAGATCCTCTCGCCCGACCAGTGCGCGGGAGTCAACCGCTACATCGCCTTCATCGCTCTCCCCTCGCTCGTCTTCCAGGTGGGTTTTGTCTCACATCCATGCGCAAACATGGACATGTGCGAGATGGACTTTTAGTTCCTGGGCGCTGACTCCACAGCCAAGCTCTTCCTGCTGCTGCCGCTCCTTATCCTACCCCTGGCATTTCCCCTTTGTTCTCAAACCCCCACCACCCCTCGTCCCCCTTCTCAGACCATAGCCAAGACGGGCATGTTCAAGATGAACTTCCAGTTCCTCCTGCTGCTGCATCTCGTGCCGTGCTCTTCCTGCTGTTGATCCCGCCCTTCTCCTGAAAGCATTATTTCCTGGTCTGAACCCACCACCCCTCGACCCACCATCAGACCATAGCCAAGACGGACATGTTCAAGATGAACTTCCAGTTCCTGGGAGCTGACTCCACAGCCAAGCTCTTCGTGCTGGTGGTCGTGGTGCTCTTCCTGCTGCTGCTGCTCCGCCTTCTGCCTAAAAGCAGTGTGTTCGGATGTCAATCCCCTCCCAACCCCACCCTGTATCAGACCACAGCCAAGGCGGGCATGTTCAAGATGAACTTCCAGTTTCTGGGCGCGGATTCCACAGCGAAACTCTTCATGCTGGTGGCGGTCGTGGTGTGCTTCCTGCAGCTGCGAGTGGCCGCCAGGCACCTCGCCGTGCAGTGCACACGTTCCTTCTGCTTATCCAATCCGACCTTCCTCATCAAACCTCTGTTTCTTCCCGGGTTTCAACCCCCATCCCTGGCCCCCATCAGACCACAGCCAAGACGGACATGTTCAAGATGAACTTCCAGTTTCTGGGCGCGGATTCCACAGCCAAGCTCTTCGTGCTGGTAGTTGTGGTGCTGTTTCTGCTGCTGCAATTCCTATCCCACCCCTATCTTTTCCCCCTTCACACCAACCCCCCACCAGACCACAGCCAAGACGGACATGTTCAAGATGAACTTCCAGTTTCTGGGCGCGGACTCCACAGCTAAGCTCTTCGTACTCGTGGTGGTGCTGCTCTTCCTGCTGCTGCGAGTGGCTGCCAAGCACCTCGCCGTGCACAGGGCCTTCCTCTGGTCCGCGTCCCTGTTCATGCTCGTCTCCATGCCCAACACGCTCATCATCGGTGCGTGCTTGTTTCTAGATAATGCCTCTATTCCCTCCTCTCTTCCATTCCTTCCTCTGGTCCGCCTCGCTCGTCATGCTCGTCTCCATGCCCAACACCCTTATCATTGGTCCGTTGCCCTTGCTCTCCTGCTGTGCCCAACACCCCTGAGGCCTCATTCATGGCGCAACAGAGTGACTTTTGAGTCGACTCAAAAGTCACCCCTGAGGCCTCATTCATGGCGCAACAGAGTGACTTTTGAGTCGACTCAAAAGTCACCCCTGAGGCCTCATTCATGGCGCAACAGAGTGTGGAGCGGCAGTGTGATGCTCAGCAGAAGCCGCCGCTTCCTCGTTTTCCCTACACATTCCCTTTCCCCCCCCCCCCCCCGCCTGCTGTCGCTGCTGTCAGCCATGTATGGGGACGAGGCTGGATGCCTCATACATGGCTGGCAGCAGTGACAGCAGTGACAGCAGTGACAGCAGCCCTTTCATCAGGGCACAAGGTGGAGCGGAAGTGTGCTGTGGCTTCCTGATGGGCAAAAGCTGACTCTTCCTCATGCTCCCCGCATGGTCTGCCCCTCGCATGTTCCCTTCCCTTTCCTCCCCACACACACACAGGAGTACCGCTGCTGTCAGCCATGTATGGGGACGAGCCGGGGACCTCATGGCTCAGATAGTGGTTCTGCTTTCAGTGTAATGACAGGCACAAGCCTCCTTTTCCTCCTCGTGTCCCCCTGCATGCACCCTTGCATGTCCCCCTCTTTCCCCCCTCCCCCTCTCGCAGGAGTACCACTGCTGTCAGCCATGTATGGGGAAGAGGCTGGGGACCTCATGGCTCAGATAGTGGTGCTGCAGGTGAGCCCCCAATTTCCGTTTTAAGAATAGGCCGCACTACCGTCAAGCATCCCTCTCTCCCCCTCTCATCATCCTCCATATACCTGGGCTCGCTATTCCATAGGCGCATCATTGGGGGTTGCTGTGTTGATGCCTTTCTCTTCCTGTACTTCCCACACTCTCCCCATGCCCGTGTCCGACCAATCACAGTCCGCCATCTGGATGCCGCTCACCATCTTCCTCCTGTCCTGCCAGCAAGCCACCTCCCTCAGCTCTCGCCGCATGCACGACGCCGCGGCCTCTTCCCCCCATGCTACTCCTGAGAGCACACTTGATGCACGCAGCAGTGATAACCACGCCTGCAGCACTGCCAACCGCGCTAGCAGCTCCAGTAACCGCCCAGCAAGCACAGTTGCGGGTGCTGAAGCAGCGGGTGCTGCCGCCTCTGGTGCTGTGTCACATGCTGCGCAGATACAGCAGCAGCGGCGGCGCATGACTCGTCTGGAGAGCATGCTGCTGCGCAGCTCCTCGTTTAACGGCAGCTGGTTCAACAGCCGCGGCTTCAATACTGTCACACTCACAAGCTCCGTTAGTGATGGATCCGCCAGTGAAAGATCCGTTAGTGGTAGAAGCACCGTGGTGAGCTTCAGTGAGACGAGGTCAGTGCGGCACCCAGATGGGCTGGCAGTCAGTGGAAGCAAGACTGGGGAGGAGGAGCAGCACGGGCAGCACGGGCAGCACGGGCAGCACGGGCAGCACGGGCAGCACGGGCAGCACGGGCAGCACGGGCAGCACGGGCAGCATGGGCAGCATGGGCAGCATGGGCAGCATGGGCAGCATGGGCAGCAGGGGCGAGAGGGTGGTTTGGAGGGCCAGGGGAGCGAGGGCAGTGAGGAAAAGGTGTGTGTGTGCATTGAGGTAGAGCAATCTCGGGTAACACGAGGAGCACAGGTGATTCCTGATGCTGCTGTTGCTGCAACCGGAGCAGCTGGAGCAGCTGTAGATGCTGCAGCTGGTGCAACTGCAGGGCCGCCGGCTGCTGAAGATGCAGTGGGAGGAGTGGGAAGGGGAAACAGCCTCGGCCGGACGAGTAGCTTGGGGCGAACGAGCAGCTTGGGCCGGGCGACCAGCCTGAGTCGGTGTCTCTCGATACCTGAGAGCACTCCTTTTGAGGAGCCGTGCAATAGAGGGGGCGATGCAGAGTGCAGTTCCAGCCGGGGGAATGGAGGTGCTAGTTGCACGGTTACAGGTTCAGCAGAACAGAGGGAGGAGGAGCAGAAGCAGCAGCAGCAGAAGGATGGGGATGAAGAGGAAGAGGTGCAAGGGCGAGTATCAGAGATGACATTGGTAGGGCCAGACATGCCACTGGATTGCTGTAAAGAGGTGGAGGCTGGGAAGCAGGGTGGAGGAGGGAGCAGGAGAGGGTGGTGGAGGAAGGGGCGGAGGAAAGGGAAAGGGGGGAGGAGCAGGGTGGTGGCGGTGCTGTGGGTGGTGTGGGCGAAGCTAGTGAGGAATCCCAACAACTACGCGGCGCTCATTGGAGTGATCTACTCCCTTGTGTCCAACGCGTGAGTCACTTTCGGAAATTGACCTGCAGTCTGTGGTGATGTGGGCGAAATTGACTTGGAAATTGACCTGTGGGTGGTGTGGGCGAAGCTGGTGAGGAATCCCAACAACTATGCGGCTCTCATTGGGGTCGTCTACTCGCTTGTGTTCAACGCGTGAGTGGGCCGCTTGAGTGATGCATCTGCAGCGCTTGCCTTTGTGATTCGGCCAAGGGTATTGCAGGTTTACCTTTCGCAACATGCTCATCCATTCCCCTCCTCCTCCTGACAAATCATCCTTTCCCTCCTTCCCCCTCCCCAGATGCTGCGTACATCAGTCAAGATCATCGCAGACCATCCTTATCACCATCATCTGATCTTTCAACAACCCCTCTCGTCCCTCCCGCTCTCCTCCCCTCCCCAGCTGTGGCTTTGGCCATCCAGAGATGCTGCGCACGACAGTCAAGATCATAGCAGACATGGTGTGTGTCTGCCTCCCCCTCCTCTCCCTTCCTCCCCATGTCCCAACCTCTCTCCCCCCCTCCCCAGCTGCGGCTTCAACTATCCAGAGATGCTGCGCACGTCAGTCAAGATCATTGCAGACACGGAGTGTGCCTCTCCCATCACCACCACCATCTCAACATTTCCGTCCCTTCCGCTTCCCTCCCCATGTCCCTCCCGTTCCCACTCCCCATCCCCAGCTGCGGCTTCGGCTATCCAGAGATGCTGCGCACGTCGGTCAAGATCATTGCAGACACGGGCCTGGGCATGTCCATGTTCAGCCTCGGTGAGTGCCGGTTCGGATGGGTGAGTGCCGGTTCAGGTGGGTGATTGCTGGTTCAGATGGGTGCATCCCACTGTAGCTTTTCATGTTCACTCTCTAGCTACGACCTCCCGTGTTCAGTCAGTCTAGGAACGCCTGGACTTGCTGACATACACCCTTGTTCCATACCGTGTGGCCACTCACTCCTCCTCGTGTAGCCGTGTGTGATAAGTCGATTTTTTTGTCGACTCAAAAATCGACTTGCTGACCTACACCCTTGTTCCATACTGTGTGGCCACAGTATGGACTCAAAAATCGACTTGCTGACCTACACCCTTGTTCCTGCTCCTCATGTAGCGAGGCGATTTCTGAGGCTCCTTTTGGGGCGCTTTTGAGGCGCCGCAAAAGTTGTCCCTTGTTGCATACTGTGTGGCCACTCACTTTTCATGTTGCGGGGCGTTGTTTTAACGCCAAGACTTGTTGCACTCTGTGTGGTCACTCACTCACCACTTCACCCTCCCTCCCCTCGCAACCTCCCTCTCTCCCCCTCCCTCAGGTCTGTTCATGGCCAGCCAAAAGAGTCTGCTCTCCTGCGGGGTGTGGCACACTGTGTGGTCGCTCGCCCTGCGCTTCGCCCTCACTCTTTTGTCACTGTCTCTTGCGCACACCCATCCCAACCCTCCCCCTTCAGGTCTGTTCATGGCGAGCCAAAAGAGCCTTCTCTCCTGCGGGGTGTGGCACACTGTGTGGTCGCTCGCCCTGCGCTTCGCCCTCACTCTTTTGTCACTGTCTCTTGCGCACACCCATCCCAACCCTCCCCCTTCAGGTCTGTTCATGGCGAGCCAAAAGAGCCTTCTCTCCTGCGGGGTGTGGCACACTGTGTGGTCGCTCGCCCTGCGCTTCGCCCTCACTCTTTTGTCACTGTCTCTTGCGCACACCCATCCCAACCCTCCCCCTTCAGGTCTGTTCATGGCGAGCCAAAAGAGCCTTCTCTCCTGCGGGGTGTGGCACACTGTGTGGTCGCTCGCCCTGCGCTTCGCCCTCACTCTTTTGTCACTGTCTCTTGTGCACACCCATCCCAACCCTCCCCCTTCAGGTCTGTTCATGGCGAGCCAAAAGAGCCTTCTCTCCTGCGGGGTGTGGCACACTGTGTGGTCGCTCGCCCTGCGCTTCGCCCTCACACCGCTCACCACCGCTCTCTTTGCCTTCCTCTTTGGCATCTGCGGGAAGCTCTTCCGCATCATTGCCATGCAGGTGAGGATCCGATCCCATCCCATCCCATACCGTACCATGCTCACGCTCATTCATCGTTGCACAGTAATTTTCAGCAGCACAGAATAACACAGAATACTCTTCCGCATCATTGCCATGCAGGTTAAGGCAATCTGAGAGCAGCAGTACCGGACTTACAACTCAGGCTTGAGACATAGCATTAGCAACATATTCTTGGCTTAGGACCGCTGAGGGGAGTCTTCCAGCACTACTGTCAGTTGGAAAGGCCACTTTCCATCCCTCCCACTGTCAGTCCACACCAGGGATGGGGCTCCAGGGATGGTGGCCTTTCTGCTGCCCCCGCCGCCCTCATCACCCCTCACATGCCTTCGACTTGTCTCACCCTTGTCTCCCCCGTTTCTCCCCGTGTCTCGGCCTTGTTTTCGCCGTTCCTCCTCCCCCGTTGTCCCCCCCTCCCTCAGTCCGCGCTGCCCCCTGGGGTAGTGACCTTCGTGCTGGCCAACGAGTACAAGTCCCACACTGCCATTCACTGCACCGGGTGAGTACACTTATGTGTATATGTGTACATATTAAAAATGTATTTATATACACTTCTGCACCAACATACACTTCTCCCAGGGCTTGGTACATTGTGATCCTGCGGAGCATGAGTTACAAAATGGCACGCATGGGACTGGATGATGAGAACGAATGGTTTATAGCTGAAATTGCATGCCCCCCACGCCTTTTTGCTCCTTGTTTTCCACCTCTCATGGCAAACGCATGCATCCATCTCATTCCCTCGACATTTAAAGCGACGGGCAACTTTTGGCAGTGTTGGGTTCAGAAGTTTTTTTTTTGAACCAGGCTTGCCAGCGCGAAAGTGTTGGCTGGCGAAAACCAGGATTTCGTGCAGACACTTTTCATCTGCAGTAACAGTTCGCCAGGGTTCTGGGTTTTGGGTGGCAAATGTGCACCGTCGCTTTAATGTGTTTGGGGTTCTAAATGTCTCTTGATTTGCTACAGCGCTATTTTCTCATCCCATCTCCCTTCGCCTCCACATTTGACTTTGCCTCCATTCCCATCCTGCAGGGTTTGCTTTGGGACCTTAATATCTTTTCCCATACTCATGGGATATTATCTACTCCTGGGAGAGTGAAATAACAGTAGTGTAAGATGCTGGCTGGGTTGTACCATAGTAATGTGTTTTTTTATAGTGTAATATATGCTTCATTGATTTTTATATGTAGACAACAATATTTGTTTGTGGGGCCGTTTGTGATCAGGGGAAACCCAAAAACCATCGCAACGGGCGAGGCGACAACTGAAAGGGAACAGGAGACGGCGGCTTGCCCAAAACGATTGAGGCAAAGCGCTAGCGTCGCACATGCGAGAACGTGCGAATCTCAATCGTCGCACCGCCTTTATGTGTACGCATAACGCGTTACGACATTAAAATTCGAGGCTATTTGGACGGTCAGATGAGGCCAGAATTCGTCATACGGATGTGCAGTCGGTGTCAGTCGTAACATGCTTATGAGGTGGCATTATACGAGTGGTTAGTATTCTGAGATGTTCTGAAAGCCACGAGCGGATGGTCGCGCGATTCGCGCATCTGCTTGCACTGGGACCAGACTGCCAAAACTGTTGTCCCAGCTGACGCTGACAGCCCGCCCCAGTGACGCAGAAATAGTTGTCCCTGACGCCAACTGCAATCCACTGTTGTGCGAAATTCACACATGCCAGACAAAACCACTGACCGAACCCATGGCCAGGGTGTGGTTCGGTAGCCTCGAGATTTATTTGTGGGACGGTTCGGCAAATTATTGGGGCTGTGCATCTCGGATTCAGCTCCGGGTTTCAAAGGGTTGAATATCGGTAAAAACGTTTCTTGTATGGTTGAGCATGGTAACGTGCCCTCGGGTTCTTACCCGCCAACACTCGAACCTCCGTTGGGCGTGAGGCCACGGATCAAACCAAGAATCTTTTGATTGCCCTCACCGCCACACAGTGTCAACCAAACCTATTTGCCCCACCTCTTACCTTTCTCAAAGACCTCCGAACCGCTAAATTTCGGCTCGGATCCTCCAAACCTTCGCTTCCCTTCTTTCCCTTATCCCATCTGCGTCCCACTACCCATATCCCTCCCCCCTCTCCCTCCACTCCCACCTCCCGCCGCCTCTCCGCCATCTCCGAACGAAAGCGTATTATCGTCCAGAAGCATTCATTGGCTCATATCATTCCACAGGGCACGATTCTTTATCTTTCATTGTGACGCGCATCCTTGCATATGCAACCTCGAATCCACCATGACCATCTCACCAGCTGACGCGGAAGCGCCGCCGCGACTAGCGGCGGGCTGCTCGTTCATGTGCTGCAAGCGCCACGCCTTCGTTTTCTCGACCTCCATCGGCAGTACCAACTTCAGCGTTTGCGTCGCTTGCGCCGCCTCGCGATGGCTGAGACACACCGTTTTCGCGCTCCCATCGTTCCTCCTCGTGCTGACCGCGTTCTGGGCGATTAACGAGCTCCTGCTCCCCGTGCAATGGCGCTTCGACCTTACCGCGCCTCGCGTATTAACTCCTCGCATTCTCGTCCTGATGCTTCTGACGTGTCCTGTGATCTGGCACGAGTGGGTGATCCCACGCGTGAACGCGCGGCGAGAGCGGCGCGAAGACCGGCGGAGGGAGCAGCGGCTTGAAAAGGGGATTCAAGAAGCTCGGTTGCGAAAAGAAGCGACGCGGCGCTGTCGCAACTGCATGACTGCGTATCGCGATCAGTCGCCTTCGTCGGGGAGGTTTACCTGCGCCGCCTGCGGGCACGTGTCGCGCCGTCCGGTGCTCGATCTGCTCGATACAAGCCGTCCCGATAGTGTACGAGATCAGAGTCATCAACAGTCATGCGTTGCGGAGTCTAGCCCTCGTCGGCAGCAGCAAGAGCAGCAAGAGAAGGAAGGGCAGCAGCAGCAACAGCAGCAGCAACAAAAGGAGCAGCAGCATTTCTCACTTCCACCATCCGAAGAAGCGATCAGCAGTAGAAGCAGTGACGGGGGCAATTTAGGGTGCGGCAAACACAACACTAGCGCGCACGAGACCCGCGCGCGCAGTATTAGCGCGGACGGTAGTAGCGCGCACGAAAGTAGCAGCATTCAGGGGACCCTCGAAAATGCCGACGATAGCTCCGCCCGAAGCCGGCCTTGGTTGCGCAATATCGTTTTTCCCGCCGTTTTCTTCCCCATTGCGGCGGTTTGGCGCGCTATTTTGCAGGCGCTGGCGTTTCTTGTTTCCGCCGCGCACTGGTTGCGCCGACGGCTCGTAGGCCCGCGCACGGCGGAAGCTGGTGTGCGCAGAGGTTCCGCCTCCACAAGCGCTGAAGTGTCCGCGGAGAGGGCAGCGCGGGCTCGGCGCAAGACGGGGATGCGGAAGCTTACGCGCGCGGAGCGGGAAGCGACGGAAGCAGAGGAGCGGAAGCAGCGCGAGGAGATCGCGCAAATGGTGGAGGCGCAGCGGAAGGCGCGGGAGCAGGCAGAGGGGACGAATAACTGGGAAGTTGTCGGGAAAAAGGCCGCGACAGTGGGGAAAGCGGTCGAGGTACCAACAATAACGAGACGGGCTTTAACGAATAAAGAGAACTGCCCGTACAAGGGAGGCCGGTCCCACAGCGTAGTGAGCGCTAAATCGCTTACTGGACAGACAAAAAGTATAGGGCAGCCCATTTACAGCGCGCGCAAGGCGGATTTGAGCAGTGCGCGCCCGGCGGATTCGAGCAGTGCGCGAGCGGCGGAAAAAGCGCCTGTGGGCTCCGCGCAAGCGGGCGTGTTGGGGAAGGGGCAGGTGCGAAATGGGGTGCCCACGAGTTGTGAGGCGCCTCGGAAGTCGGCCGCGGCTTTGGAGAATAAAGGCAGCGCGTGGAGTAAGGAAAGCATTAGCGGATACTCTACCGACGGTGCCAGCAGCAACAGCAGCAGCAGCAGCAGCAGCAGCAGCAGCAGCAGCAGCAGCGGCGGCGCGCGGAATAAGGGAACGATTTCGTGCCCAGCACCCCCGCCGCGTTCTTCGAACGAGTACACTCCTTCCCCGATACAAGCCTCTCCGCCCACTCGAGACAGTCGCACGTTCTCCCAGGTGGCAAAAAGTAGTGGCGGGGGAAGCAGCAACGGGGAGCAAAATAAGCAGGGTTCTGCGAAAACGGGAGGCAAGGAATCTGGACCGTCCGTTTTGAGATCTGCAGATTGGACGGGGAAAGATTGGCCGCAGTGGGACTCAGGTATCGGTGCTTGTAGCAGCAGCGGCGGCGGCGGCGGCGGCGGCAGCAGCAGCAGCAGCAGTGGCAGAAGCAGCGGCAGCAGCTTTGGCAGTGGCAGTGGTAGGAGCAGCAGCAGCGGGGACAGCAGTGGCAGTGGGTCTGGGTTTCCTGAAACGGCGTGTGTTGAGACCGCAACCGACTCTGAAGCCATCACAGGAACGGGTGTTTCTGAACTGACGGGGACGGCGTGTCTGTGGTCCTATCCTGCCATCGCTCCCTTGCTTCATTCCGCCCCTGCTGCTGCTACGCCAGTGCCGCCACCACCATCAGGCTCCGACCCCTTGCTCACCTCCTCCTCTTCCTTCCCATCCTCCTCCTTCACCACTCCTATCAAGCAGCAGCAGCCGCAGCAGCAGCACGCGGGGAAGGAGGCGGTGGCGAGTGGGAGGGAGTGGCAGATGTGGGGTTCGTCCCACCGCCTCACAGAAGCCTTCGGCTTCACACCTCCTACCTCCTGTGCTGCTCTTCCCTCCTCCCCCCCACTTCCTGCCGCCACCACCACCAATACCACCTCCACCCCTCGTTCCTACCTCGCGAATCCCTTCGCCCTCCCTTTCTCCTCGCCCTTCTCTCTCGGTTTCTCTCCCACGCTCGTGCCCGCCACGCCCGTAGACCCAGCACCACTGACCGTCAGCCCACTCAATCTAAGCGCCACTGCAGCTCTGCCCGGCTCTGCTGTAGGTTCGGTAGAGAGGAGCCGTTTCCCTCTCGGAGAGGCACTCTCCAATGCATCACAAAGAGGATCAAAGAAGAGTCTTCATGCAGAGAAGAGCTGTTTCCCTGGATCGTGGAGTGCAGGGGGGGCGGGTGACTTCTGAGTCGACTCAAAAGTCACCTTGTTTCCCTGGGTCCTGGAGTGTAGGGGGGGTGAGCTCTGAATCGTCCTCTGAGTCGACTCAAAAGTCGCCTCGATTCCCTGGCTCCTGGAGTGCAGGCGGGCAGGATCTGACTGGCTTTGGCGATGCGCTAAAGAGCGACGCGTTTAGAGCAACTATTGGCGGCGGCGGAGGAGGAGGGGCGGGCGGCGGGGCGGACGGCGGGGGGGCCGGCGGGGCGGGCGGCGGGGCGGGCAGCGGAGTGGTGCGGGCAGCGTGGATGGCGGAGATGTGGGACGAAGACGTGCCGCCCGCCTTCGTGGACTGTATCACACAGGAGATCATGCAAGATCCAGTGATCACTGCCGACGGGCACTCGTATGAGCGTGCTGCCATCGAGAACTGGCTCATGTGAGTGTGTGGATGCACCTGGGGTGCGAGAGAGGCTTGTGTGCGTTGGGAGGGAGGTGAGGGGCAGCTCGCCCTCCTGGAGGAGAGATCGCGCACGAATGATTCGGTGATCACGGGATCGCGGTCGATGGGCGCTCGTATGAGCGCAGCGCGCTGCCATTGCAAAATGGCGTATGTGATTGTTGGGGAGCATCTGGGAGTGTCTGGGGGTCATATGTGTGTGGGGCACGGGAGATCATGCACGATCCGGTGATCACAGCCGATGGGCGCTCGTATGAGCGCGCTGCTATTGAAAAATGGCTCATATGAGTGTGCGGGGAAAGAGAGAGGGGGGAAATGGCTCATATGAGTGTGCGGGGAAAGAGAGGGGGGGGAAATGGCTCATATGAGTGTGCGGGGAAAGAGAGGGGGGGGAAATGGCTCATATGAGTGTGCGGGGAAAGAGAGGGGGGGAAATGGCTCATATGAGTGTGCGGGGAAAGAGAGGGGGGGAAATGGCTCATATGAGTATGCGGGGAAAGAGAGGGGGGGAAATGGCTCATATGAGGGTACGGGTGTGGCTGTGGGTAAGGCTGTGGATGAGCATGTGAGAGGGGGAGACAGATGTTCCAAAACACACGGATTGCCTTCCATATCCCTCCCTGCCTGCAGGCATCATGACACGAGCCCCATGACAGGCAAAGTGCTGCCTCCCTTGCACTCCACACCTGCTGCTACAGCTGCCACGGATGCTGCTACAGCCGCCGACCACTTGCAGGGGGGCTCTTTTTCCCCTTGCCTTGCGGGATGCAGCTGCAAGCACAGTGGCAGCTGCATGGGCCAAGGCCGGTGCAGTGCGGTTGGGAGCGGTGAGGGGTGTGCTGAGAGCGGTGGTGAGGGGTGCAGTGGGCATTGCGTGGTGGACAAGACGCTGCGGCCAAACCACATTCTGCGCGGGCAGATCATCGAATTCCAAGAAATGATGGCGATGCAGTGAGTTGACTCTTTGTCTGTTTTGACACTTTGACTGCTTGACTGCTTGACTGTACTGAGCTGTGCTGTGCTGTTTGGTTGCCGTTCCTTTAACGTTTACAGTTGGGGACAGATCATCGAGTTTCAGGAGATGATGGCGCTGCAATGAGTTCACTGGAATGTTTGATTAGAGATTGGTGTTGCGCCTTGCCGTGTCATGCTGTGCCATGCCGTGCCGTGTTGTGTGCTTGACTGCTTTCTTTTCATCATCCATCCGCGGTCGTTGCGAGTGATTTTTGAGAATTCTCAAAAATCACTGAGATTCAGGGGATGATGGATGGCGCTGCAGTGAGCTGAATGGTTCTATAAATTCTTTAACGTGGTTCAATTGTGATGTGACTTGTTGTGTTGTGCTCTTCTGTGCTCTGTTGCTCCCCAGTAGCCCTCCTCCTTCCTCCTCTCCCTCCTACTTAACCCTTCCCCTTTCTGCTCCGCCCTGCCCCTCACTGCCCCTCTCTGCTCTTCCCTGCCCCTCGCTGCTTGTCTCTGTCTGTGTGGCTGGCAGGGCAAGGGAGCGCACAGCAGCAGCAGCACCCACACGCGCTGCACCTGCATTTGCAACCTAGAGTTGCGTAGCTTTGCTTTGCAGCAGCAGCATCACCACCAGCTGCCGCATACATATTGGGTCACTCATTACAACTCTCAAGCACCAGCTATACTACTACTTGAAGCATCGACAGGCTGGTTGCAAGGCGCGGGATTCACTTTAGAGCATTCTTAAAGTGGAAGCAAAGCACGGATGGACCGACTGAGGTGCAATATTACTAACCTGCGGCCTGCCTGCTTGATGCTAAACATGTGTTAGTAGGCCATGTGAAGCAGGCCATTCAAATATCCAGATGAAATGAAGCACGTTGCCTTGCAAGAACCAGAAAACAAGCTTTCTCGATCTTGAGTTGAGCTTTTTGAGGAGAAGAGAACCCCATTTTGTTGCTCTGGTTCTGCTCCTATGCCAAGTGAGCTTGTGAGTGTCAGCAGGCAGTGCGAGCTTGTCATCTATGTAATGACTTTGGAGTTACTTGCCACGGACATGATTTTGGAGAGCGGGGCAATGTTGCAAATCATCCATATGTGTTATACGAGTCATTGTGCTATACACCTATGCTAGCTAGTTATACACACACCGCCCACTCCTACTCGTAGTGCGTACACCCTGCTCAGCCGCACCACCCTCACCTTCCTCCGCACCTTCCTCATCACCTTCCTCCCCTCCTGCACCACCAGCACCACCACGCAACCTCCTCCTGTTACTATCACCACCTCTCTCACTCCCGCTTTTACTGGTATGCCTGCTGCTGCTGGTGCTGCTCCCACTGCTACTGCCACTGCCACCACACTTCCCCAGCAGCCAGTCCATCATGGCATGCCCATGCTCACTCGTCATCTCATCACCTTCCTCCCCTCCTGCACCACCAACAGCACCGCGCAACCTTCTCCTGTTACTATCGTCACCTTCACTGTCACTCCTGCTTTTACCACTGCTGCTGCTGCCATTGCTGTCACTGCCGCCACCACTACCGCCACACTTACCCAGGAGCCAGTCCATCATGGCATGCCCATGCTCGCTCGTCATCTCGTGGAACGCAAACGCCACGTTCAACTCCTCCTCTATCGCTCCCTTCATCGCCTCGCTCCACCCACCCTCCTCTCCTCCCCCGTTCACACCACTCCCAGCTGTCCCATCCTCCCCTTCTCCAGCCCCTTCTTCCTCCTCATCCCCCTCTCCTCCTCCTCCTCCTCCTTTTCCTTTCCCCACCCCTCTCCCTCTTACAGAGTACTTACTCCCTCGTTCTAGTTCCTCCATTGCCCCTTCTTTCTGCAGCACAGCAACCCATCCCGACCGCCTCCCATCCCTCACCATCCTCCCATCCTCCCCCACTACCCCTCCCCGCTTCAACGCCCGAAAAATCCTCTCCGAAGCTGCGGGGGGTAGGTTCGGTATCCGGTCCGACAGGAAGCTCGGCCCGAGCCTCTTCTCCAGGCACGGGACCTGCCCAGCCTCGGAGCCTTTCGATCGGAGAATCTCGACCGCCCGTTCGACCGCCTCGGCGCGCTGCTCGTCCTTTGGCATGTGGACAAAGAGGGTCGGCGGGAACTGCCGGCCGGACGGGAGCGGCGAGTCAAACGCCTTTCTGACTCCGCTGGAGATGATAATAACGAGGGCTTGCAGGTCAATGGAGTGTGCTAGTAACGAAATGAAGTATCCACCAGAAGAGGCACCCAGGGCGAAGAGAGGGAGGGTAGTGAGCTGGTGCTGCTGGCGCCAGGTGGTGAGAACCTGGACGACTGGGGGAATGTCCAGGGAGCTGCTAGGTGGGAAGGACGTATCCCAACAGGTGGAAAGGCTGGGAGTGGGGGGGGGGAGAGGAGAAGGGAAGGGGGGGTGGAGGGAGTGAGCAGAAGTTGCTGGCGCCAGGTGGTGAGAACCTGGACGACTGGGGGAATATCCAGGGAGCCGGCAGGAGGATAGGACGTATCCCAACAGGTGGAAAGGCTGGGGGATTGGGGGGAAGGGGAAGAGATGGGGAAAAGGGGAGGGAAAGGCAGGACGAGCAGGAGCGGTGTGGGTGGGGGGGGGGGGGGGGCCACAAGCAATCTTACCTCAAAATGGCAATAACAGCGAGTCTACTATTCAAAGCATGTTGCACGAGAGCCATGTCTTCAGGGAGGCCCAGGCACGACGGGCAGGAGCGGTGAGTGGCATAACTACCAACCATACCTAGAGATGGCAATAACAGCGAGTCTCCTCTTGAGGGCATGTTGCACGAGAGCCATGTCTTCAGGCAGGCCCAGGCAGGACGGGCAGGAGTGGTGAGCTGCATAACTACCAACCATACCTAGAGATGGCAATAACAGCTAGCCTTCTCTTGAGAGCATGCTGAACAAGAGCCATGTCTTCAGGCAGGCCCAGGCACGACGGGCAGGCATGGTGTGTGTGTGGGGGGGGGGTCACAAGCAACCATACCTGGAAATGGCAATAACAGCGAGTCGCCTCTTCAATGCATGTTGCACGAGAGCCATGTCTTCCGGCAGGCCCAGGCAGGACGGGCAGGAGCGGTGGTTGTTGATGTGAGGGCCAGAAGCAATCAGCCTACTCAAGACATGAGGGAATAGCAAGCCTACCTTGAGATGGCAATCACTGCAAGTCGTCTCTTCAATGCATGTTGCACGAGAGCCATGTCTTCCGGCAGGCCCAGGCAGGACGGGCAGGAGCGGTGGGGCGGCCAGAAGTGAGTGGCTCGGTGTGTGCACCCGTGCGCAAAGAACACCACGCCTGCCAATGGCATGTTGCCACGTGGCACCTGCCACACCACCTCCCTGCCGTGCATCGTTTCATATACCGGCACCAGTGCCGGCGCCTCCCCTTCCTCCTCCTCCCTCTCCTCCTCACCCTCCTTCTCCTCCACCCTCTTTTCCGCACCCTGCCACTTCCGTGCTTTTGCCGGCGCCTCTCCTTCCTCCTCCTCAGCCTCCTTCTCCTCCCCCTCCTCCTGCCGCTTCTGTGCCTTTGCTGGCACCTCCCCCTCCCCCTCCTCACCCCCCTCGTCGTCCTCCTCCTTCTCCTCCTGCTCCTGTGCTTTCTCCTGTCCATCCTCTTCCTCGTTTTCCTCCTCAGAAACACCTTTAACAGTCCCCTTCTTGGCACCCTCCCTCTCCCTTTCCGCCGCCTCCTCCTCTCCCTCGTCCTCTGGCCCAGCGTCACTCTCACCACCCTTACGATTTCGATGTGCCTTTTGAGACGACTCCAAACTCTTCCCCGTCTCCTCTTCCTCCTCCTCCTCCTTTTCGCTCGCACCTATGTCGCTCGCACCTATGTCGCTCGCACCTATGTCGCTCGCACCACCATCCAGTTTCCCTTTCGCTTTCCCTCCCCCACCCCCCACCCCGTCTTCTCCCCCCTCCTCCTCCCCCTCCTCTTCTTCCTCGTACCGCACTGCACTCCTCTTCATCCTCTTCTGACCCTCTTCTTTCGTCCTCTCCTCCAACTCACCACCATCCCCATCATCATCATCACTATGAGCATCATTCCTCTTACTCCCCTTTCCCTCGCTCTCACCAGCACCCTCATCACCATCACTTTCTTCCTCCCCCCCTCCCTTCTTCCTCCCATCAACACGCCCATCCCCCACACCATCATCATAATCAAACCCTGCCCTGCTTCTAACTTGACCCTCCTCCTTACCCCCCTCCTCCTTACCCCCCTCCTCCTTATTCCCCTCCTCCCTTCTCCTCTCCTCACGAGCATCCTCATCGTTCATGCTTCCATGCTCCATCCCATCATCATAATCAAACCCTTCGCTCCGCCGCTGCTGATCTGCAGCCCTTCTCTTTCCCTCCTCACTTTCTCCATCCTCACTCTCCCCCTCCTCACTATCCTCCGTATCCACTCCGCTTCCACCACCACCCCGCTTGCCTCTTTCTCGTGTGCTACCCTTTCCTCCTTCCCTTCTTTCCTCCTCGTCGTACGAGTCTCCACGAAGCTTCGACCCGGCTTCCTTCCTCGTTCTCTGCTTCAACAGACCCTCCTCTCCCGCCGTCTCCCCCTCTTCCGCCTCATCTTTCCCCGCTTCCGCTTCCGCCTCTGTCTCCGCCTCCGCTCCCCTCTCTCCCGCTCCCCCTGCCCGCAACAGCTCCGAACGACCCACAGACTGCCCTTCAGAATCCGGCCGAGTAGATGCAGACCCCTCATCCGTTACCGTCTCCGTTACCGTCTCGTCACCAGATGACTCAGTCTCAGCCTTTGACCGAGAACGGGTGGACTCGTCTTCGTTAAAATCACCCTCGTCTTTATCAGCCGAAACTAAGCTGGAGGAGTGTGTTTGTACCGAGGTGGATGGTATCGGGGTAAACGACAGTCTAGAGTCCCCTGCTGATTCCGGTCTAGGCATCACATTCAAACCAGCAGACGCCGGAAATTTAACATCTGCCACGTCAGCATCTCCGATTCTCGAGCCAGTTCCGTCACCGCTTACTATCTTATTGAACCGCTGCTTCGATAGAGTCCCTTCGCCAAAGTCTATAGTGCGATGGTGCCGGCCGTGGCGGTGGCGGTGGTGCCGCCTGGTGTGCGGCGACTCTTTGGAGATTAAAATGAAAGCCGCGAGGAAGAAAGCCGCGAGAACGTAGGTCGCGCCGCGAGCTCTGCGCACGGAGATGTTATAACTCGTCGGCGCGACCCGGGGACTCCTGGGAATGTACATGATAGAGGTAGGGAGAATCGACGGAGAAGCTAAGAACCGCGCTGGCTCCTACGTTCGGAATTGATTCATGGAGGCACGGAAATTGCGACGACAAGTTTACTAACTACACTAACTGCGATGTTTCTAAACCTACACTACGCGAGAGCACGCAATCAATCGGAAAGAGACGCAAGGCTGTAAGAAAAACACCTTAGGAACTGAAAGACGGTCCAGTTGCAGGCCTTAGGGACTACAGTTGTATTCTAGTCGCGCTGAATCTGTGAATTGAAAGCCAGCCGGAATCCCGGGGATTCTAGGGAGGTTGTGTCAGAAGACACAGAGCTGACGGGCGGGAAAACCATGGGAGCTGCGGCTGGGACAGATTCGCGACGTCCTAACGAAAGAGTTTCTTCACGAGCGAATTCCGTTACCAAGCGCCGTTACCGAACTGATTAACTCAGGAGAAAAACGCGAGTGACACTGGCTTTTTTCTGCAATCTAGGCAGTTCCTATATCTTTCATTATGAAGTAGAGTCAAGTTTAGGACAAATGTTTGTTCCCAGCTCCAACCTAATAAACATAGCAATGAGCCTACAGGCTACAGCAGCACATCAGAGTGCAACCTGAGCCAGCCACCAAATCCCAATCTAAACACCTACGGTACTTCTGAAAACTTCCATCGCGGCACGTCTCACAACGCAAGTGCGCTACAGCCTGCTCAGAAAATGTATGAGCAGAGCACAAAACCTTACGAGCAAAGCTACACAGCCTAAGCAAGGGCATACATTAACGAGGGTCAAGGAAGGGAAATGGAAGGGCAAGAGACGGCTAGGCCTGCAAGTGCAAAAGCATGCTGCTGGCGAAGGCGGTTGGTGTACAGTGTGTGAAGGAAACAAGAAAGGAGAGGATTAACTGTGAGAAAGAGGAGAGGGAGAAGCGGGGTGCGGTTATGGAGTTTATGGGGTTTTTGGGAGGAAGGAACTCAGGCGAGGCCAAGTGCTATTGTGGCAGCAGCACCAGAGCCAAATAGGAGACTGAAAGGGACTTGAGCCTGCCAGTACACTATTGCTGCTACCAACACTGCTGCTGCTGCTGCTGCTGCTGCTGATGCTGTTGCTGCTGCTGCTGCTGCCGCTGCTGCTGCCGCTGCTGCTGATGCAACTACTGCTGCTGTCCTTTTCAGTTGGATGACATTCCAGTTGGCTGCTCTGCCAATGCCTGAAACGACACAATCTGCCCTGTCACTGCCTCTGCTGCTTCCTTTCCACCCTCTGCTACTACACCAGCGCACCCACCCCACGCCAGACCCCCCTTGTTACCTCCCCACTCCAGACCCCCCTTGTTACCTCCCCACTCCAGACCCTCCTTGTTACCTCCCCACTTCCCTAGTTACATCCCCACTTTGCCCCAGATTCCTGCGATCGTTCGCCCGCGTCCCCTGTGCTGCCTATGCTGCCACGTGCTGCCCGTGCTGCCCGTGCTAGCCGGCTACTCTAACAACCTCCCTGCGCAGCATGCTCAGCAAAAAGCCCTTCTGATCCTGCTGATGCTGCTGCTGCTGCTGCTGCTGCTGCTGCTGCTGCTGCTGCTGATGCTGCTGCTGATGCTGCTGCTGCTGCTGCTGCTGCTGATGCTGCCAGCCTGTCCCGGGGCATCCATAAGCATTCCTGCCACTTCCCCCTTGTATCCCCCACACCACCCCACCTGCCCTCCTACCTCCACAACCACGCTCTCCCCCCGTTTTTCTCGCCTCCTCTTCCCCAGAACCCCAGTACCGCACCAGTCAACTGGGAGAACCGCCCCTTCACCCACTTCCCCATCGCCTTCCACCCGATCACAGATCAAACGACCCTTTGGGCAGAATATTCAGCCTCATGAGCATCTCAGCGGCCGTCTTCCTGCCTCGCCTCACTACTACAGTCATGAACCGCCCCAGCGCCTCCTCCCCTCATCCCCCTCCCCACCCCTTGTTCAAAGGTCAAACGACCCTTTAGGCAGGATATTCAGCCTCATCAGCGTCTCAGCGGCGGTCTTCCTGCCCTGCCCCGTGGCAGTCGTCATGAAACGCCCCAGCGCCGTCACCGCAGGCTGCGAGTACTTGGGCGCCCGATACTTCTTAATGGCAAACACCTTCTCCAGGATATACACCGCCCACTTGGTCAGCTCCTTGGTCCCCTCCGCTCTCTTCCCCTCCCTCCACTCTCTTCCCCTCCTCCCCTCCTCTTCCCTCCGCCCTTCCCTCTGCCTGCTCAAAGGTCAAACGATCCTTTAGGCAGGATATTCAACCTCATCAGAGTCTCAGCAGCCGTCTTCCTGCCCTGCCCCGTGGCCGTAGTCATGAAACGCCCCAGCGCCGTCACCGCAGGCTGCGAGTACTTGGGAGCGCGGTACTTCTTAATGGCAAACACCTTTTCGAGAATATACACCGCCCACTTGGTCAACTCTTTGGTCCGACCCACCACCCCCGCTGCCGCTTCAATCACGTCTAGCTTGACTAGAAGGTCCGCTGCTCGCTCGTGGTCCCCTTCGTCTGCCAGCAGGGTCGCCACCGAGGCTAGGCAGACCTCGGCCACCCGATCCTCGCTCCGCCGAACCAGCTCCAGTAGGATCGGGACGATGTCGCCCTCCACGAGGCAGAAGGTGGATTCCAGGCTGCATTTCCCCCCGTGCACCTTGCAGGATCGGAGTTTGTCTGTTCCTGTCGTCACAGGGCTGGCTCCCGAGCCTGTCCCGGCGGTGCTCGCCGAGGCTCGCGAGTTGGACCGGGAAAAGTTGAGCTTCCAGGTCATGGCCTTGCCGAGCCTACGGTCGAGCGAGGTTTGGTCGACGAGCTTCGGAGTCGAATGCGAGAGGTTCCCAAGCAGCACAGCAGAGGGAATCCGCATAACATCGGGCCCCATTTTGAGATAATGCACGGCCAGCTGAATCACCCCAAGCCGAGCCACTATCTGCTGCGCCTCTATATCATCAGGGTCGGCGAGCTTTGACAGGCCTGACAAAATCGCCTCCTGCAACCGAGCCGAGCTCGCAGGGTTGGAGCTCCCCGGGCCTGACGACGAAGCAGGACCCGCCCCCGGGTTCAAATTCAGGAACTTCTGCATGAGAGTGAACACCTGCTCCTCTACCCGCACCAGCGGCCGCATCTGCTTATTCCCCGCCATCGTCCCGAGAACAATCACTATCGCCTCCCGCTCCTCTCCCGGCAGCGGCCGCGCGAGGAGAGTAGCAAGAGTCTTGACTACTTCCGGGGGGGCGCACATCATTTCAGCTGCGTTGTGCTCCTGGCACAGGTGCCCCAGCAGCAGCAGCGCCGACGACCGCAGGCTCCCCGCCGCAAAGTGCGACGCGCTCTCCTGTAACACCTCGAAGATGGCGGTAACCGCACCGTCATCCTCCATCACTGCTGCCCGCATGGACTTGCTCTCCTTGGCCATACACTCCAGAGTCCTCACCGCGTAGTCCCGGTTCGTCTGCGGCCCCGCCCGCAGCATCGTGATCAATCTAACGGCTGTCCCGTCCTCGTCCAGCGCGTCCAAATCCTGGTCGTCCATTGCCAGATTCGCCAGGGTCGCCTGCGCCGCGTTTTTCACTTCAGCCGACCCGCGAGCGAGGGCTTTAACGAGCGCGGGGATCACGCCTGCCTTGGCGAGAGCCATGCGGTTGAGATCGGTGTGGGAGAGATGCTCTATGGCTCGGGCAGCGGCGGCCTTGCCCTCTGGGGGCCCGTCGTTGAGAAGGGCGACGAGGGGGGGCAGCACTCCGCACTGCACGAGGGAGACGCGGTGGGCCTTGTTGACTCCCCACGTCATCACCCCATCCGCCATCATCATTCGGGTCTCCATGTCACTCTCTGGGGAACGAGGAGGGTGGGGGGAAGGATGGAGCAGATAGGGAGGGAGAGGCAGGGTAGGGGTGAGTGGGTGTACGCACCCATGGGGTCCCCATGTCATGACTGCATCTGCCATCATGACGGGGGGGGAAGCACCCCGCACTGCACGAGGGAGACGCGGTGGGCCTTGTTGACTCCCCACGTCATGACCCCATCCGCCATCATCATTCTCGTCTCCATGTCGCTCTCTGCGGGGGGGATGACAGGCACGTAGTGGGAGAGCGAGAGGGGGGGGAATAAGGAATGAACGCGAGTTATCTCCCTTGTTGACTCCCCACGTCATGACGCCATCCGCCATCATCATCCAAATTTCCATGTTGCTCTCTGGGTTCACAGGGGCAGGAGGGGCGTGGGTGGGAGAGGAAGGGGAAAGAAATGAGTGGGTAAAAGCAGCCTTGTTGACGCCCCATGACATGACCCCATCCACCATCATCATTCGGGTTTCCATGTCACTTTCTGAGGGAGGGAGGACAAGTAGGTGGGCGAGAGAGCGAAGGGGAGGGGTAGCAACTAGTGCGAGGAATCATCCACCATCACAAATGATGATGGCGGATGGCGGGTTGACTCTCCACGTCACGACCCCATCCGCCATCATCATTTGTTTCCATGTCGCTCTCTGGGAGAGGAGGGGGGGACGAGCAAGTAGGGGGAGAGAGGGAGAGAGGAGGAAGGGGGGGAGGGAATGAGCGGGTATGTGCACCCGTGTCAACAGACCCTCCGAATCATGACCCTATCTGTCATCATCATCCTCATCTCCATGTCGCTCACTGGATTCACACGGCACAGAGGGAGTGTTCTAGGTGAAGACGCCGCCTCAAGCACACTTGTTGACGCCCCACGTGTTTGAAGAAGTGTTTTGAGAACACTCGTCTCAAAACAGCTCATACTTCCTGCCTCCCCTCCCACACACGCAGCTACGTGTTTGAACAAGTGTTTTGAGACGTCTCACAATGCACTTCTTCAAACAGGTGGGCACGCAGAGAGGCAAGCAGCTCACCACAAGTTTGAAGAAGTGTTTTGAATGTTGAGACGTCTCAAAACACTTCTTCAAACACTTGTTGACGCCCCATGTTATGATCCTTACGCCAGCTGAGCGGCTAACCCTGGTGCCAGTTGAGCAGCTTTATCATCTCCACCACCCCCATCGCCCCCGTCACAGCCTCCCGCCTGCCTTCCCCACTCTCCTCCCTCTCTTCCTCACATGCTCTCCCTTGCGCTCACCCACCCACCCACTCACTCACCCACTCACTCGGTCACACACACACCCACACTCTCGCAGACCCACAGACCCACAGACTGACATACTGCCCCGCACACCCATACAACCACACGCCCACCGTCTCATACCCACCTGGTTCGAGCAGGACCACAAGCGGCTTGAACATGCCAACGAACGCCGTCTGAATGGCCACGTAGGCGTCGTCGCGCCACCTCCTTCCCCTCTCCCTCGCACTCACTTACCCTCTTACCCATCAAACCCCCAGACCCACCTGGTTCGAGCAGGACGACGAGCGGCTTGAACATGCCGACAGAAGCCATCTGAATGGCGACGTAGGCGTCGCGCTGCCTGCCCCGCTCGCCTCCCCTTCTTCCTCACGTCCTCCCCCTCGCACCCACTTATGCACTGAACCACCCACCCCTACCCCCTCTAGTACCCACCTGGTTCGAGCAGGACCACAAGCGGCTTGAACATGCCGACAGAGGCCATCTGAATGGCGACGTAGGGGTCGTCGCGCCAGTACGTCTCCAGCACGGCCTCCAGCAGCGCGCCGATGCCGTCCTCCTGGTGCCAGTTGAGCAGCTTTATCATCTCCACCACCCCCATCGCGTCCGTCACCGCCTGCCGCAGCGCCGGGAAGCGCGAGAGCTCGAGGATCACCTGCACGGCTGGCGTCACGTCGGCTGTATCGTGCGTTATCAGGTGGATCACCGGGGGGATGCCCCCCGCGTCTGATATGGACGTCTGGAATGGTTGAAGGGAGGGAAGGAGACGTTTGAGTCGACTCGAGGATCACCTGCACGGCTGGCGTCACGTCGGCTGTATCGTGCGTGATCAGGTGGATCACCGGGGAAATGCCCCCCCCCGTCCGATATTGACGTCTGAAATGGGCGGAGGGGGGGAGCGGAAGTGGGGAGGGGACGGGGGTGGGGAGGGGGAACGGAAATAAGGGGTGTGGTGTTTGAGAGGACTCAATCCCCCATCGCTTTCGTCAGTGCCTACCGCAGCGAGGGGAGCGTGGAAGCTACAGGGCCAGGAAGCCAAACACATTTTTAACGGGATTATAACGGGGCGTTTTTTTAGAAAACCAATCACTATCTCAAGGGAACTTGCTGGTGGAATTACAAAGGAAAAGGCTGCATTTGCAATAAAAAGCGAAGGGCGTTGGGAGAAATTCGTTGTCGTATTACTCGCTGTCTGTTGAAGAGTTACGCGTTACACTCAATGAGCGAAGAAAATGGGGTGCTTGGGTCGGGAGCGCGTTTGAAATTTAGACTCACCGATTCTGCCTCTAAAGGCTGGCAATATTTCGCAAGACCGTTAGCGCGCCCTCTTTATTTTTGAGGCGCCAAAAAAAATAAAAAAACACAAAAATAGCGCTCACTGATTCAGCCTCTCCGAGGCTGGCAATGTTCCTCCGCACCGCCACCACCCTTCCCCACATTTTCTAGGCGCCAAAAATAACCATAATAATAACTCACGGATTATGCCTCTCAGAATGGGGTGCTTGGGAGAGCGTTTGGAAGATAAACGAGTTTGGAAGATAAACTCACCGATTCCGCCTCTCCGAGGCTCGCAATGTCCCCCAGCACCGTCAACGAACCCTCCCTAGTTGATGAGGCACAAAAAAAAACAAAAATCAGAAAACAACTCACCGATTCTGCCTCTCCCAGGCTGGCGATGTTCCGCAGCACCGTCACCGAGCCCTCCCGCACCGGTCCCGCGCCTCTCTCCGTCACCAGCCGCACCAGCGGCACCACAGCACCAACCTCCGCGAGTTGCGCAGCGTACTTCTTATCCTGCGACGACAGCTGCGCCATCGCCTCCACCGCCTCCTCCTCCTTCTCCCCTCCGCTCGCCTCTTTCGGCTCCTCTTTCGGCGGCGGCTCCGGCCCTTTCTTTTTCTTCTTCGCCGCCGCTTTTTTCTCCTCCTCTTTCTTCCGCTCCTCCTCCGCCTTCGCCGCTTCTTCCGCCAGAATTGCCTCCGCCGCTTCCCCCCCCGCGGCCAGCGCGGCTGCTCTCGCTTCCGCCGCCGCCGCGGCCTCCGCCGCTCGTTGCTCCATACCGTCTCTTATTATCCGCGCGGCTTCATCCAGAGTCTTTCGGTTCAGCTCGTCGTAACTCTCCTCTATGCCCTTTCGGATCTCCACGTTGCAGACCAGCTCCACGCTTTTGAGGTGCTTCCCGCTCTTGGGACACACGCGCTTCCCCTTCGCGAAAAAGTTTTCGATCGCGTTGCGATTGTACGTGTCGCCCGTTTCGACCAGGGTAACCGGATCTCGCATCACTTCGCCCGTCATCGCGCACTTAAAGTTATCCGGAACCGCCATCCCGAGCTCCTCCCGGAGCCGCAGCGCGAGCCGCGAGAACGTCTGCGTGATCGGCGCTTCACTGGAGATACTCGCAAGGCTGACGAGCGTTTTTAACTCCGTTAGCTTATCCACATCCATCCACCGCTCCTCCTTCTCCGCTACAAGCAGATCCCGCTGCACTTCCTCCTTAAGCACATCCGATTGCGACGATGGCATTTCTAAGAATTTCAACACGCGTTCCACCAGCGCCGTCGCGACCTTCTTGCTGTTCTTCGTCACGCCATCCTCCAATGCCAGCGACAGCTCCGCAACTTCCGGCTCGGAATCGAACGTCGCGACCCGCATTCGGCCGCGAAGGTCCGTCAGTCGATTCGCAACGTCCGTCGGTAGCGACGACATGATACTCAGGACCGGCATGAGGTTCAGATCGTGACCCACCTCCTGAACCATCCGCTGCAAGTCGCCGACTAATTTATCCGTGTCGAAGATTAAGAACAGCCGGCTGCACTCCGTGTGGTCCTTAGTCAGCTTCTTAAGATCGTCCAGAGCCGTTTTCAACCTCTTCATGCCGTTTAAGGCTTCTGCTGATGATTTGGTCAGGTCGCGTTTCGTGTTCAGCTGCGACAGGACCTCGCGAAGCTCGCCTAGGTAGAATGCCATTGTTAAGAAACTTGCTGTGTCGACCGGAACTTTCGGCGCGAGTCGCCTGGTCTCCTCGATGGTCTTTAACATCGAGTCCACCATGGACGCCAAACTAGGGTTTGACGAACTCATAATGGCCTATCTGATGCTGTCAATCCTAACGATGCGTTAGTTCTAACGGTGATATTATTGATAGATACCGTTTGGACTGCGAAGAAGGTAATGTTGAGATGAAAATAGATGCGACGGACTTCGCGTTTCTGGTAGTGCTGACGCTGATGCTGACGTGTATGTTATGTCTGGTCTATCGGACACGGTTTAGGGGAATAGAACGGATACGGACGAGGCGCCATAGGGACAATGCAGGATAATGCAAATAAATAGAAATTGCAAGGAGAGAAACCTAAGGTGACCTAATTATTGCTACCGGTAATCCCTAGATCGACAAGACCCCGGAGCTCTAGCAAGATAACACGTGGCGCTATTGAATATTCAACGGATCAACTGGTTTTGCTGGCTCTGGAACAAGAGGCGAGAATAAAGAAGGGATAAGAAAGTCGTTGAACGGCGGATAAAGCGGAGATGTAGAAGCCCACGCGTGTTATCTAAACATAGCAGGCCGATTGATTGATTGATGGGCCAACAGCCATAGTCGGTTCCAAGGAACCCAGAACGTCATTTTGCCTTATTACCCTACCTGACCGTTCTGATCATTCAAACAAACGTCCTAAAACGCAATCGACCTCATTGAGCCGCAAAAAGAGAAGGCAAAGCTCAGCGAAAATGCCATGGCCAGATTGGTGAGGTGTGGACGGAAGGGGGGAGGCAGCCTTGGGTGGGGCGGGTGGGGTGGTCGTTGGCGGAAACACTGTACAGTCCAGGGGTGTGAGGAGAGGTTGGGCGCAGCGGGCGCAACTGGCAATGGGGGACGACGATAACCAGTTTTCCCTCCCTGCTGCCTTTTACGTGCTTCTGGGGGGCGCGGACAAGGCGGGATTCGGGGAGCGACAGACGGGGAACGGCTGGGGGGGAGACTTCGGGGTCGGTCACTGTGCTTTCGTGTTGAGCTGACAGGGAAAAGGATGGCGAGTGCACGATTTCACGTAATGCGGTAACCGATCGTCGAGGCGCAGGGCTGATTGCCAGTCTGGTTTTTCGAGACGCAGGCTGCACTAGTTGCGGGGGGAAGTCAATGGTGACAGTGCAGACCGACCAACGACAGCTGTGCGAAGAAGTGGGCAAAGAACCGTAGCGAAGACAATTACCTCCATGTAAAATGCGCCCCAGGTCGAAATTCGGTTGCAACGGTGCAGATTTCAAATGACGTGTCAGATCAAGGTACGAAAAACTGAGGAATGGAGAGTTTAGAGCGACGTCAGGTTGCACACCTTTTCGTGAGCTCTTTCCGGTCGAATTCGCTTCGTCACGGTACAAAACGGTAAGCCGAGAAAACCGTTTCCCACCGTGTGGAACCGTCCTGAGCCACGATACAAGAACTATGAACGTGTGAGCAATGTACAACCTGACGTCGCCCTTATGTATCAGAAACACTTCTAATGGCTTGAAACCCAACTTAACCGCTCTGTAATGAGATTCATCGTGACTGGATAATGAACTGCGTTGCAACGAACTACACAAACCGCGCACTCCTGGCCTTGTAAATCCCGCTGATGTCGGTACGGCCAGGGATTTGGTCTGGTCGCTCATAGGTTTGATCACCTCGATTTTGCCGCTCCTTCCGCCGACATTCCCTCTGACTCCATGATATTCCACTCCACACACACACACACCTTCAAAACAACTACTACAGACAGATCCTGTAGTTGCTTCTTTTCTCAGCGATAGACGACTGCTTAGACTTCGACGTTCGACGCCATGGCCCAGGTTGCGGATCTCCTACAGTCGCTGAAAGGTACATTGAGTTCTTCTCCTAACGGCTGGCCGGTACCTCTGCCGGTAGTCGTCGCTGTGGCCGCTGGGGGAATCCTCCTGCTTACCTTTGTTTCCCTTAACGGGAAGCCTCGAAAAAAAGGTAGACTTTCTACTGTTTCTGAAGCTGGTGAATGTAGCTTCGATCAAAAGACCCGAGCGTCCGTGTGCCGTCGATGTCACATCCACACGACTTCTTTCTAGATTCACGTCTCAGATCCCAGACGAGGTATCCCGTTTCAAATCCTAAATCCCAAATCAAGCAGGCGATCAACCGTCTGCTCCATTCACCCATTTCACCGACTGGGGAAACGATGGCGGTGATCTTAACTGATATCGAGCGGATCAGCGCGTTAAAGACGCTCAACAGTCGTATGCCATCCTCATTCTTTTCCCGCCCTCTCCCGTCGCTCCTGCCGGTGGCTCTACATCCCCAGAGTGGCGCAAGTTCCAGCTGATCGATCGAACCATCACGTTGAAGAGGCTTAACCGTCATTCGTCCCCCGCATTCCCATCGATCTTCCATATTCTCCCATCGCTCATCCCGTCGCTCCTTGCAGGGGCTCTGCATCCCGAGGAGTGGCGCAAGTTCCAGATTATTGATCGCACCAGCATCACCCACAACGTCCTCAAGTTCCGCCTCTCGCTCCAATCGCCAGACACGGTGCTGGGCCTTCCCATCGGTCAACACGTCGTCATACAGTAAGACTGTCAACCGCGTTACGGTTAACAAAGCATAGTCATCACCTTCTCCCTCCAGACGCCAGATACGGTGCTGGGCCTTCCCATTGGCCAGCACGTCGTCATACAGTAAGAATGCTTTTTGAGAAGACTCAACCATTGATCGCACCAACATCACCTGCAATGTTTAAAAGATTGTTTATCGCCCCAGCTTGCGGCTCTTCATCGATCAACTCCGAGTTGACCCTTGAGTCGGTCAACTCCGAGTTGACTTTTGAGTCGGTCAACTCCGAGTTGACTTTTGAGTCGACCCTAAACCCGAAACCCCGAACAGCTCCTCCTGCTGATTCTCTACATGTGATTCCTCACCCGCTGTTCCACCGTATCATTTCACTGTCCCCCCAGTTTCTTTCTTTCCGTCGTACGCATTCCCTCCCCTGATCCGTCTCCTGGACCAGGGGGAAGGACGAGAACGGGGAGGAGTTTACACGGAAATACACGCCAACAACGCTCGACTCCGATGTCGGATGTGTCGATATCGTCATCAAGGTGACGGCATTTTCCCCCGTCCCCCTCTGTCAATTATTCGACTTGACTTGGCTCGAATCATTCTGAATCATCCCTGCTTTCCTACTCGGATTATTTTAAATCATCGTTCTCCCTTCCCCTCCCACCAGATCTACACCAACGGTGCCATGTCTCAGTACCTCAACAAGCTGGAGGTCGGCAACTGCTCCTGCATTGACTTGACTTGACTTGCCTTGACTCTCCTCCCCCCCACTGCCCCCCCGATCTACCCCAACGGTGCCATGTCACAGTACCTCAACAAGCTGGAGGTCGGCAGCTGCTCCTGACTTGACTTGAATGACTTGCCATGACTCTCCCCCCCTCCCCTCCTCTCCCCTCCCCTCCCACCAGATCTACCCCAATGGCGCCATGTCTCAGTACCTCAACAAAATTGAAGTCGGCAACTACGTCGCCATGCGAGGGCCCAAGGTGAGGAACGTTGGAGAGCGGTGAGGAGCGGTGGGGAGAGGTGAGGAGTGGTGGAGAAAGGTGAAAGAGGTTTCCTTGTCTTTGACCCAAACTTTCCTGATGCCGCCTCTCAGTCCCCTCTCACTACGCCACCATGTCGTTTGTGGAATTATGGTGGACTTTTGTACGTCTTTGGAGTTACTCACTCCCCCCGTTCCTGCTTTCCCCATTCCATCCTGTGGTCCCCCACCCACCCAACCGCCCCCCAGGGTCGCTTCAAGTAGCGCCCCTAATAGCTGAGTTCTTATATTAGTTTCCCGTCATCCGGCCTTATTTCCCCACCCCACTTTCCCTCCTGCCTTCTCCACCCAACCGCCCCCCAGGGTCGCTTCAAGTAGCGCCCCACCCAACATGTGCCGTGCGATTGCTGAGACACCACACAATGTCCTTTCATACTCCTTGCTTCCGCCCTCCTGTGTGATTCGTCCCCAGGGTAAATTCAAGTACAGCCCCAACATGTGCCGTGCGATTGGCATGATTGCAGGAGGCACTGGTGTCACTCCCATGTTTCAGGTGGGTTGGGAACAGTGCCGCTGTGCATCAGGTGGGTTGGAAGTGGTGCTGCTGTGCATCAGGTGGGTTGGAAGTGGTTCTGCTGTGCATAATGTGTAACGACTCAAGCCATGACCGCAGGAGGCACGGAGTGACTCTCATGTTCCACGTGCGGTGGAACAGGTCCAAGCATTATAAGAGAAAGTGATTTGGTGTGGTAAGGTAGCATTGAGGCAGTTTTTGTTGGCGCCTAGCTGACTTTTGAGTCGACTCAAGAGCTGACTTTTGAGTCGACTCAAGAGCTGACTTTTGAGTCGACTCAAAAGTCATCTGGTGTGGTTAGGTAGCATTGAGACGATTTTTGTTGGCGCCTCAAAAAATTGACTCCCACGTTCGCCGCGCGGCGGAACAGGGCCAGCCAGGCAGGCACTACAAAAGGAGAGGGATCGCGTGTGGGTAGAGTTTCAAGTGTTCTGCTTTTCACACGTCAGCTGGATGCTGTTTGATGAAGACGAAGGAAAATATGTTCTGGATGCAAAGGTCACAGTGTTTCAAGAGGCATGTGCTTGTGTGCTTGCATCCTTGAATTCTGTCAACAAGGTTGCACATACATGCTATTCTGGAAAACCCATCAGACCACACCACCACCTGCTCCTCTCTCCCCTTCCCATCTCTCCGTCTGTCTTTATCCTTCCCCCAACCAGGTTGCACGAGCCATTCTGGAAAATCCTGAAGACCGCACCTAAGTCATTTCCTCTCTCCCCACTCCTCCCCATTCTCTCTTGTCCCTTGCCCCTTCCCCCCTGCGTCCTTCCCCAACCAGGTTGCACGAGCCATTCTGGAAAATCCTGAGGACCGCACCAGCATCTCTCTTATCTTTGCCAACGTCACAGCTAATGATATCCTGTTCAAGGTGCGCTCACACACGCACATGTGCCTCCTGAGTGACTCGAAACGAGGAGACTTTGAGTTTGCTTGAACTGAGCCCATCGGACCGCACCAGCATCCCGCTCATTCTTGCCAACGTCACAGCTGACGATATCCTGCTCAACGTGGGTGCAGAGGTCAACACACAAGCGCTGTAATAAACTCTGTGCCATGGTGCTTGTTACAGCGCCTGAGGTTTTGCTTTCTCGGGTCTTCGTTGGTTGATGTTGTTTACTGGAGTGCTGTGAGGGACTGCGCCTCAGGTCTGGCTTGCTATTTCCTGATCATCGCTTTTGAGACGCCTCAACAATTGTTTACTGGAGTGCCGAGAGTGCTCCTGAAGTCTGGCTCGCTATTTCCTGAGCATTGCAAACCAAACTCGCCGCATGAGCGGACCGGTTTGTGTCTCATGCCTCCCTCGTTCTAGTCTCATAGAAGAGAAAAGTCTCATGTCTCCCTTCCCCTTGGGATTTGCCACCTCGGCTCCTCACCCCCTCTGCCCTTCTGCCCTTCCACCCCTCTGCCCCTGCTTTTTATCTCTCTGTTACAGGACGAGCTAGAGGCGCTGCGTAAGTCAGCGCCTGACCGGTTCTCCATCTACTATGTACTTAACGAGGTATGTGCTTAACGAGGTATGTGCTTAACGAGGTATGTGCTGATCGAGGTATGTGCTTGTAGGATCTTAACATTGTATGTGCTTGTATGGAAGTAAGGCCTCCGCAGCCCACCTGTCCGTTACTGAAACTTCCCACAACCTCTCTCTCTCCCTCCCGCCCACACCCCCTCCCTCCCTACTCATCCACAGCCACCGGAAGGGTGGACTGGAGGAGTGGGCTTTGTAACTCCCGCCATGATCCAACAGCACATCCCTGCACCCGCCTGCTATGTCTCTCACTACTACTCTCCCCCACAACCTCTCTCGCTCTCTCTGCCTACAACCCCTCCCTCCCTACCCATCCATCCACAGCCACCGGAAGGGTGGACTGGAGGAGTGGGCTTTGTAACTCCCGCCATGATCCAACAGCACATCCCTGCACCCGCTCCCGATGTCATGGTATGTGCTGCTGTTGCCTTGCGTGGTTGAACTAGCCTCTTGTGGCGAATGTGTGCTCACCCCCCTGGCTTTTGAGTCGCCTCAGAAGTCGCTTGGTTGAGTGTTTGATCATCCCCCTGGCCCCCATCCCTGATGTTTCCTGTTACCCCATCACTTTGCCCTTCTTCTAATCATGTGCTTCCCATCCTCCAATCACGTGCTGCCAGGTGCTGCGCTGTGGCCCCAAGCCAATGAACCAGGCCATAGCTGCCGCTTTGGAGGAGCTGGGCTACTCAAGTGACTCACTCTTCAAGTTCTAGACCAGCGTCACTATTAGAACTGTGGTGTAGTGCGGTGGAAATTGGTGTGACGTGGTGCGGCGTGGCCCCAAGCCAATGAACCAGGCCATGGCTGCTGCCTTGGAGGAGCTGGGCTACTCAGGTGATCGCCTCTTCAAGTTCTAATGCAGTGCGGTGCAATGTGGTGCAGTGCAATTAGCTGCAATTTGATCCAATAAACAGCTTGACCCACTTCTCAGCAAACAAGGACATGCCTGCCGCCCTGCAGGAGCTGAGGTTATGGTGGTTTATGCTGAGTCTGATATGAGGTGCCCCTGATAAGGGGCCGTAGGAACACGCCCTAAAGGGTGGTGTTGTAGTGGAGTGTGGTGCAACATAGTACTTTTTGTGGTGCAAAACGTGAAGCTCAAGAACAGTTTCAAACCGTATAGAGCCGACCCGAGCTTACAAGGATGAAGAGCAAACATGTCCAAGACACCACGTTTCCTGCTCTGAACCCCTTGAAACTGTTCTGTGATACAGATTACGGTGACTCGACGCAAAACTTCAACAGACTTCGGCCCCCAGAAATTGTCAGAATGGCCAACAGATCTGATCCCTCGAAATGTTCGAATCTGACGTTCCTGAATGAAGCTGACATTTCTTGTGTTCCTCTTGATCACCTTGATTCTGCCGCTCCTTTCAGCTGACACTTGCTCCTTCAAACTGCATCTTCCCAACACACAGCTTCACGAGAGCGACTGTACCAGATCCCGCAGTGCCTGTTCACAGCAATAGACGACAGCTAGAATCTGACGTTTTGGCGCCATGGCCCAGGTTGCGGATCTCCTACAGTCGCTGAAAGATGCGTTGAGTTCCTCTCCTGACGGCTGGCCGGTGCCTCTGCCGGTTGTCGTCGCTGTGGCCGCTGGGGCGATCCTCCTGCTTCTCTTCGTTTCTCTCAACGCGAAGCCGCGAAGAAAAGGTGCACTCTGTTCGTTACGAAGCAGGCGAGTCCAGATCCGTCTGAAAGTCCGCAGCGACTTCGTGCTGTCGTCTGACAGACTCGTCACAGTTTTACTTCCCTTAAAAAAAACAACTGCTGTCTGTTCTCTTCGCCCTTTTCAGTGACTGGAGAACGATTGCGGTAATCTCAGCTGATGGAGCGGATCAGCCCGTTAAAGAGTCTCAAAAGTCATATATCCTCCTCATTCATCCTCCCGTCTTCTCCCATCGCTCCTTCCAGTGGCTCTACACCCCGAGGAATGGCGCAAGTTCCAGCTGATCGATCGGACCAACATCACACACAATGTCGTCAAATTCAGCTTCTCCCTCCAATCGCCCGACACGGTGCTGGGGCTCCCCATTGGACAACACGTCAGCCTGCAGTAAGAACGGCTTGCAGTAAAAATGCGTTTTGAGACGTCGCGAACATCTCCTACTTGCTGCTGTTCCTTCTTCCATCTGCCGCTACTCCCTATTCTGCCGTTTCTATTTCGCGGTTCCCACGGTCTCTTCTTCACCGTCTTACGCATTCCCTACCCTGATCTTTCTTCCTGGCCAGGGGCAAGGACGAGAACGGGAAGGAGTTCATGCGCCCGTACACGCCAACAACGCTCGACACCGATGTCGGATGCGTCGATATCGTTATCAAGGTGAGGTTTCCCCCCGCTCCCCCCCAGAATCTGTAATCAAGGTGAGGTTTCCCCCCGCTCCCCCCCAGAATCTGTAATCAAGGTGAGGTTTCCCCCGTCCCGCCCTGAATCTGCCCCCCCTCCTTATTCCCCCCTTGCTTCCCCTCAACCCCCTCCATCTCCCTCTCCCTCTCATACTTTTGCTTCTGAGTTTATGTGACTTGACTCATAATGAATAAACCGTGCGGGCCTGCTCCCCCATCCTTTCCCCCGTCCACCCACCAGAGTTACCCCAAAGGCGCCATGTCTCAGAACCTCAACAAACTTCGAAAGTGCTTCAGCTTCGGACTTGACTTGACTCATATTGTATCATCTCTGCATGCGCACTCGCCCATTTATTCCCTCCAATCTCATCAGATCTACCCCAATGGCGCCATGTCTCAGTACCTCAACAAGCTGGAGGTCGGCAACTTCGTTGCCATGCGAGGGCCCAAGGTGAGGAGCAGTAATGAGGGGTGAGGAGCGGTAAAGAGAGGTGAGGAGCAGTGGCGAGAGGTGAGGAGTGGTGGAGAAAAGTGAGGAGCGATGGAGAAAGGTGACAAGGGAGGGGGAACCCTAACCTTTCCCGAAGCAGTTCTTCTTGATTCTTCTTCTTCATCTGCTCGCACTTTGCTACCGGGTCTCACAGCGCATCAAATATGGTAACATTTGGGTCGACTCACCACACCCCCCCTTATTCCTTATTTCTCTGGCCCCATTCTCTCCAACCATCCCCACCCAATCGTCCCCAACCCAGGGTCGCTTCAAGTATCGCCCCAACATGTGCCGTGCGATTGGCATGATTGCAGGAGGCACGGGGGTGACTCCCATGTTCCAGGTGGGCTGGGAACGGTCTTGTTGTGCTTCAGAGAGGTTGGAAGTGGTGCTGATGTGCATCAGGTGAGTTGGGAATGGTGCTGCCGTGTTACAGGTGGGTTGGAATTGGCGCTGCTGTGTGTGAGATGTGAATTTTGAGTCGTCTCAACAGCCATGGTTGCAGGAGGCACCGGAGTGACTCCCATGTATCAGATGGGCTGGAAGTGGTGCTGCTGTGTGTTAGGTGGGTTGGAAATGGTACTGCTGAGTGTCAGGCGCGACTTTTGTCGTCTCAACAGCCATGGTTGCAGGAGGCACCGGAGTGACTCCCATGTATCAGGTGGGTTCGGATTGGCTCTGCTGCGCGTCAGGTGGGCTGGAACTGGCTTTGCTATCCTTCAGGTGGGTTGGGAATGGTTGTCTGTGCATCAGGTGGGTTCGAATCGGCGCCGCTATGCATAATGTGGATTAGACGAGATATGTGGTTTCTGAGAATTCTCACCACACCAAAACCCCCTCCCCTCCTTCCACTTTCTCCCTTGCCACTTTCCTCCTTGCATCCTTCCCCCAACCAGGTTCTGCAATCCATCCTTGAGAATCCATCAGACTGCACTAGCATCTCGCTCATCTCTCTCCCCCCCAAATTTCATTCTCTTCTGCTTCACTTCGTTCTACATCCTGAATTCACTCCCAAACCAGGTGGCTCGAGCCATTCTTGAGAACCCATCGGACCGCACCAGCATCTCGCTCATCTTTGCCAATGTTACAGCTGATGATATCCTGCTCAAGGTACGTTAGCTGAAGTCACCTATGACATTACACTTCTGCTGTGACAATCACTGTGCCTTAGCTCACATGTGGCTTCGCCCTTAGTGCTTTGCCAACTGCCAAAAGTGATGTACACGTTTTTCCTGAGCGACGCCAAACCAAAGGCACTATATGACTCTTGTCCTCCTGCTGGGACCGCTTTCATATGGAACCGAACCAAACCGTTTAGTATCTCCTGTCTTCCTTCTCCCTGAACTTGCACCTCCGCCCCTCCGCCCCTCTTCCAATGTCTCTCTGTCACAGGACGAGCTAGAGGCGCTGCGTGAATTAGCGCCCAACCGATTTTCAATCTACTATGTGCTTAACGAGGTATGTTCTTAACGAGGTAGGTAGGTGCATGTGTTTTCACTTCAGCGCCCTTGCTGCTTTTTGTTAGAACGCCTTCCTTTCCTCCCCTCCCTTTCAACACTCTTCCCTCTAACCTCCCCTCCCCTCCAACCTCCCCCCTCCTCCAACAGCCACCAGAGGGGTGGACTGGGGGAGTGGGCTTTGTCACCCCAGCCATGATAAAAGAGCACATCCCTGCACCTGCCGCTGATGTCATGGTGCGTACTGCCAGCATGGTTGAGTTGAACTGGCGTTGTGGTATGTGCTATTGCTCATGTGTGGGCTTTGTCACCCCAACCCCAGCCATGATTAAATAGCACATCCCTGCACCTGCTGCTGATGTCATGGTGCGTGCCGGATTTTGCTGCTGACTTTTTTTTACTTCGTGCATGCCCCACTTTCCCCTGCCCAATTTCACCTGCCCCACTTTCACCTCCCCCTTTCTCACCCTTGGTCGAATGTGTTACAGTACCCTCCCCACCTTACCCCCCTGATCCCATGTTTCTTGTTACCTTTATCATGCTGCTCTTTTACTTCTTGTTACACCCAATGCTGATTGCCTCTCACTGTGCTCCAGTTACACAGTTTCCAACTTCCCATCATGTTTTACCTTCTCCCTCCAATCACACACCGCCAGGTGGTGCGCTGTGGCCCCCCTCCAATGAACAAGGCCATGGCTACTGCCCTGCAGGAGCTGGGCTACTCCAGCGACTCTCTCTTCCAGTTCTAGTGCAGTGCAATGCGGTGCAGTGCAATGTGCTGCGATTTGATCTAACAAACAGCTCAAACCCCGTTTTACCATGAAAAAGACCGTGGCTACAGCCCTGCAGGAGGTGGCTTACTCCAGCAGCCAGCGACTCACTCTTTCAATTTATAGTCGAGCCTTGACGTCCATTCATGGCTCATGATTTACAAATCACAGCCCGAGGACGGTTCAACAATGTGGAAAGCGGTTTCGAGGTTGACCTTTTTGCAGCGTCATGGGATGAAGGCATACCAGTACTGCATTAGTGGGTACCTGACCACACCCTTACACATTGAGTGCACTGCACTGTATGCATAACGAGGTGTCACTTTTGACGGTTCCTGTGTGAAGTCAGAATCAATCAATCTGCATTGACCACAGCAGCACAAGCAAGGCAACAGCTCTATGCTTCACCAGCAACAGCAACATCTGGTAAAAAAAACCACCATTCTCTTATATTCAATACAACACCCGCCATCTATGCAGCTGCCATTGCTACTCTTGCCGCTGCTCTTGCTGCTGCTACTTCTGTTGCTGTTGCTATTGCTGATGACGCTTCAGCCATTGCTACTGGTCGTGCTACTATGGCCTCTACAGGCAGTACGCTGCTGGTGGAGGTTTAGAAAAGAGAAAGAGTCTAGTCGAAGAGCGAGAAGCCCATGTCGTCGTCGCTCTCCTCCTTCTCCTCCTCCTTCTCCTCCTTCTTGGCCTCTTCAGCAGGAGCAGCAGCACCACCGCTGGCAGCAGCACCGGGAGCAGCAGCCATGACAGCACCACCACCCACCTTCACCTGCCAGCACACATAGGGCACACGGCAAGCACAGGAGAGAATATAAGCAAGCCAGTGCATGAGAAAGTGAATGTGGGGCCTTTTTATTGCAGCAGCACCGGGAGCAGCAGCCATCACAAGACCACCGCCCACCTTCACCTGCCAGCACACATAGGGCACACGGCAAGCACAGGAGAGAATATGAGCAAGCCAGTGCATGCGAAAGTGAATGTGGGGCCTTTTTATTGCAGCAGCACCGGGAGCAGCAGCCATGACAGAACCACCTCCCACATTCACCTGCCAGAGTAAACGGGGAGGGAGCAAGTGCCCAAGTGAATGAGAGCACGAGGGCTTAGTTATTACGCATTCCACACCACACCCCACCGCACCTCAGCCCATCCCATCTCACCAAACCTCACCCCGCTCCACTGCACCCCACCCCACCTCACCCCACCATGCCACACCAAATGAAACCGTTGAGAATGATTAGAATGGCCCTGGGTGTTTATCTCGGTACCCTCTTCTTTTTTTGGCCAATCAGAGCCTAGCTAGACTTGCACAAGCAGTGGCTGAGGGGTGTACGCGGGAGGCAAGCGAGGGAGCACCGCGCACCGTCCAATAATCTCCGAGTACATTTCCCAGAGCTTATAACGGGTACAGTGTTTTGACTTTTACCACATACACCGCGGCGTTGGGCGTGGCGTTGGAGAAGAATGAGGTAACGCTGCCGCCTAACGAGGTATCAACGGCAAGCGACACGAGCTTGTACCGGGTACATATTGTAACGGGTACTGACCTCGTACACGCCGGCGTTGGGCGTGGTAGGAGAAGGAGGAGGTGACGCCACCGCCAGACTAGTTCTCAACGGCCGACGACACAAGCTTATAACGGGTACATGTTAACAAGTACTGACCTCGTACACGCCGGCGTTGGGCGTGGTGTAGGAGATGAAGGAGGTGACGCCGCCGCCCGACGAGTTCTCGATAGCGAGCGACACGAGCTTATAACGGGTACATATTGTAACGGGTACTGACCTCGTACACGCCGGCGTTGGGCGTGGTGTAGGAGAAGAAGGAGGTGACGCCGCCGCCCGAGGAGTTCTCGATGGCGAGCGACACGAGCTTCCGGCCAAGCGAGTAAAGGTCCGACCCCTCCGCGGTGAGGTCCTTGTTGTCCTCCTCCTTGGCCGCGTACTGCAGAATGAGAAAGGGGGGGAGTGGAGGAGGAAGTAGGAGAGGAGGCGGGGGGGAAAGGGGAAGAACGGCGGAATGCTATTGACTTCCGAGTCGACGTCTCGAAAGGCCCTGCGGTCAGGTCCTTCTTGTCCTCCTCCTTGGCCGCCCGACGAGCTCTCGATGGCGAGCGACACGAGCTTCCGGCCAAGCGCGAAGAGATCCGACCCCTCCGCGGTGAGGTCCTTGTTGTCCTCTTCCTTCGCCGCGTACTGCGGGATGGGAGGGGATGGGTGGGGAGGCGGGTGGAAAAAGGGAAGAACGGCGGAATAAAGTTGACTTCCGAGTCGACGTCTCGAAAGGCCCTGCGGGAGGTCCTTGTTGTCCTCCTCCTTGGCCGCGTACTGCGGAGCCACGGAGAAGTTCACGGGGTGGATAACGGGGTAGGCGGGAGATGTGTTTTTATACGCGCCTCGTAAGCTCCCTAAGCGGTAAGGTCCTTGTTGTCCTCCTCCTTCGGCGCGTAGTGCGGAACGGAGGGGGGAGGCTTTTTGAGTCGACTAGAAAACACGCCGTTGGATGCGGGGGACAGTAATCGCGAAGATCGGGCGAAATATTAGGCCGCGAAGGTGAATGCAGGAATTAGGGTTTCCGGTAGGAGACGGAACGATACGACGAGAAGGGAGGCGATTGACGGCGTACCACTGACAGAAGTCACTAGACTGAAAGAAGAGGACTACTTTAATTAGTCTCGCGAGGCGCAGATTGAATACTAATGAGTATAACGACGGCTATCACTTCACATTGCGAGGGGACCCTGCCGAACCCTAAAAGCGATGAGAGGAGCCAGCAGTGAGAATTTATCCATCGAAGACAAGGAACCGTCTGTGTTTATCGAACAACAACTGGCTGCGCTTATCCTGCTGAAAAAACAAAGCAGTCTACTTATGCCGGTGTCAGGAATCGGGATTCATTACGTGCCGCTGTGCCTACCTGCTTAGCGGACCAGCTGCCGCCGTCCTGTTTGCAGATGAACATAAAGACACCCATGGCGATGGCTCACGCGACGACGAAAGAGACTAACGACGTCTCTAAGTCCGAGCTACAGGAGCTCTCTTAGTGAGGAGAGGAAGGTAAGCTAGTCGTAGGCAGAGAAAGGAGGAGAGGAGGAGCAATGGCGGCTTTGAGGGCGAGCGGAAGGGACAAGGGAAGAGGAAGGGGACGGGGGAAGGAGGCAAGGGGGAATGGGGAAAGAAAGAAAGGAGAAGAGTAGGGGGAGGGGAGGTTAAGGGGGGGTTGTGGCGGGGAGGCGCGCACGCTGGGCAGAAGTTCTCGCAAGGTGGGCGGACGATCCTGATGCACCAATTCCGCAGCTGCGGGGGTTTTGCACTCCATTTGGTGGTTTTGCGAAGATTTATTGCGAAGTTACCATTGTCGTGATGAACCTAATTGTTTCTGCGTTACGCAGTGCACAGGTACCATTGAGCTTGTCACCGGAATATGCCTACGAAAGGGGGGAATGTTGTATCATAAGTCAGAATATCACTGCGGTTGAGTGAGATTTTGTGCGCGGCAGAAACTTTCAGTGCGTCAGAAAACATTTCGGCGCGGTTAAAGAGAGAAATATTTCTTAGTGCGCTTGGTCATTTCTTGGCTGGATTTACATATTCCAGCTTTGCTTTGGGGCGACCACGACCATGCTGGCCACACCAGCACCAAGTGCTGCTTCGCGAATTTGTGCATCCATGAACCCGTAAATCTGAAAGTTGGTGTCTTCAAAAGGTCGTGGTGAAGGCTGGGAAATAGGTAGCCAACGCTCAGCTTCGTATGGCCTCCTCTGTCTAACTTCCGTCAACAGGACGACACTTTAGGCTGGATTCTGTTGCCAGAATCGACGGAGCGTTTCGTGCTCTGATCGGGTTTGCGGGGTTTGTGCTGCTCGTCGCCGGATGCTGTAGGAGGTCCTGTCAGATCATATGGCTCGCAGCTTAGCATGATGTCGTAGACAGGGCAGTCTTTTGTCCGAAGACACCTCGCTCTTGCTGCTCGGGTGGGACCAATATTGACCAGAAATTGGATGGGTTTGTAGCAAAGCAGCCATGTACAAAACGCCGCTCGCTTCCACAATAGTATCCTGGGTGGGTGCCTACTTCTTCCTTGTCTTGCTCACCATCTCTCTCGCAGCTGGCCTCTACTACATTGCAGAGATTATCGAAGACAATCCTAGAACTTCCAAGAAGCTGCTTAGCATCTATATCAAAGCCACGCTCGCGGTCCACGTCATCGTCTTGATAGTCGACCGTCCATCAATCCTCTGCATTCTTACCGGGATCGCTACCCACGTCGTCTATTACCTTATCCTTCGCCGATTCCCGTATGTCAGCCTTGGGTCTCCTGAGTTCATCGGTTCATGTGTGGGGTTCGTCTGCAGTAACTTCGGCTGGTTTCAGTATTACTACTTCCGCTCGAATTTCTCGATCGAGTTCTTTCTCGGGTTTATGATTCCCATGGTGTGGCTCGTTCCCTTCGTCTACTTCGTCTCACTTTCCACGGAAGAGACCCTGTTGCCGTATGCTACAAGCCACCACTTGTCACCAGCAGCAGAAGAGGTTCTGGGTCGGACTCCTTCAGGAAGCAGTCACGCGAGCAGCAGCAGAGGAGTACCTGGTGCTGGAAAAAAGATCACGAGCTCGTTTTTGTGGCTCTATCACTTTATTCGGCAGAAGAGGGATGATGTGTTGCCGGAGTTCAATCTGGAAAGGGGAGGGAGTGGGAGGACTGCTGCTAAGGCATTGTGAAAGTAGGTGGTGCTGTGAATTGTAGAAAGTTAGCAACCCCTTTTTCTGGCACTAACAACCTGACATGCTTTTATTAGTTTTAGAGTTGCTTCATTTCCTATGGGCTGTGTCATGGACAGTGTTTTCTAAGATTGAACCTTTTGCACTGTCCTTTGTTCCTTTGACAGATGCTGCTTGGCATGAAAAGAATGATAAACACATTGGAGATTATTTACTGCTCACAATCAACTCCAAGACCATACAACACACCAGCATATTTCTCAGCAGAGCCTTTGAAAAAGTCCTGCCTTAGCTTCCTGAAAGCTGCTGACGTCAACAAACTGTCCGACCCGGCTTGATGCTGAGGACCAATCCGCTCCACCTCTAGGGTTTCCGCCAAACGATTCAGACCGCCATGGAGATTATCACAGAACTTCATGAGGTACTTAATGTCGTAGATGGTGGGAAAGTATGTGCGGAGGAGGTTGAAGAAATCTGCTTCGTTGCTCGGAAGGTTCTGACACGTCAGCACCTTAAGGAGGTACCCGAAATCGTAGCCGCTGTGAAACGTTATCCAGTTCACGTTCTCGTTGAGGACAACGCCTGACGGAATCATAAGCTCGCCGAAACGGAATGAATCAATCCCTCTCTCCTGGTTCATGTTGAAATCGATGCCGCTCTGCTTCAGAAGCTCGATCGAGTCCTGCGCGTAAATGTCCTCCATAAGATTGAACTCCCGGAAATTGAACTGCCAGACGCAGTACTCGTTCTGACCGAAATGAGGAAGCATACCATCCTCGTTAGTGAACGTCAACCCTAACTGAATAAGCTTCAGCATGTCCACGTTCACGCGCAAGGTCTGGTAATGGTACTCCGCGCTGCTGCGAAACGTCCCGACCGGCCTGACCACAACCCCTGGGAACTCCGTATCCATGGCCACATAGGGATATTCATCCACAATCTCGCGAATCATCTCGAACTCCTCCTCCAGATTATCCGCCCACACCTCCCGGATCCTCAGCGTGCCTCCCTTCGGAACGGACATCGTGGAGGCGGAACCAGGACCCCTAAAAGGAAAAAACACCTATGAAACCCGACGAGCGTGATTCGCGGCGGCCATGGTTGGGAACGCAGCAAGGCAGGGAACAAGACGCACGAAGAGAGAGACGGTTGATGTTGGACGGGAGGAGGCAGGGCAAGCAGGAAACAGATGGGTGGATTCTCGCCACGGCGGATGAAAAACTGACGGCAGTGCAACTGGTCAGGGTGAGCAGGAAGGTGAGTGGGGTAGAGAAACAGACGGCCGACGGCTTTGCGGAAACTGACTGGGCGAAGCGGAAACTGGGAAATGGATCTGTAGCCAATCAGAGAAAGCCTTTATGATAACTTACCGGCCGCCCTAATATCAAAACCCTCGTGTCGAAAGTTCCACGTCCTAACGGTGTCAGACGGTCGTGTGATGACTCGGATGCTGTACTCTTTAGTAACAGGGCCTCTCCCGTTTCATAATGTTCCGGTTTGGTTGCGAGCAGTTAGGATGTTCGATACGTGAGCCATCACTAGTTCAATACATCAGGCGAAAAAAACTAATAGCCTACCCAAATACGCATGGAGTTTCTCTAAGGCGCCATGATTGCATCTATTGTGTAATTGAAGCTCTCTGCCAAATCGGATCTGAAGAGAAGGGAGCGAAGATGGTCCATGATGCTCAGGTCAGGGTCAAGTTTGCGTTGCCAGCTCTGCTCAATCACAGGAAAATGGAACAGGGCAAGATGCAGACATTGTTAGTGAATCGGGCAGCAGTAATATTAGCTCGAATACGAAGTTAGTTTGAATGCACAAAATGCCAAAGCGATAACATATGTACCTCGAGCACGAGGGTGGTGATGATCACTGTGCACACATTTCCATCAATGTTCACCCGATGCCTTCGCACCTGGAGGGGCACACAGAAGAAAAGAGGACATGAGGCAAAATAAAGAAAGGGGGAAGGGACTTTCCAGGTACATACAAGGGCACAAGGGCACAAGACAAAGGAGGGGAGACTCTTCATATTTGAGCAAGCAACAAGGGCACCAACCAGCGTGAACAAAAACGGCCAATATTCGAGTTAACCCACATGTTCCAGCAGGTCTTGCATGCAGTCACCCGTTGGGATGCGCAGGCCAGTGGCGTCCCACTCCTTGAAGGAGTTGTCCACGTCCTGATGAGTGGAGCGGGGTTTGGGAGGGGAGTGGTAAAGGAGAGAGTCAAGCAGCGTTTCGGCGGTGGTGAAAAGGCCAGTGGCGTCCCACTCCTTGAAGGAGTTGTCCACGTCCTGATGAGTGGAGTGGGGTTTGGGAGGGGAGTGGTAAAGAAACAGGTTGTGGTATTGGTGTGGTGAGTGGGATAAATTCAATAAGCCAGGCTTGGGAAGAGGTGAAGAGCCAGTGGGCTCCCACTCCTTGAACGAGGGGTCCACGTCCGGGTGTGCCTTGGGGCGAGGTGTGGGGCGAGGTGTGGGGCGAGGTGTGGGGCGAGGTTTGATCAAGAATTGGGCAGACCTGAATAAACGCATCGGGGTCCGCACAGCTCTGTTTGTCAGCAAACTTCAGCGTACAAGCCGCGGCCTGCCGGCAGTCCCTGACCGCAATGGCCTAGAAAAACTCCAGCATGTTAGCCCTGAACCACGGCTCTAACTCAGCAGTCATGCCCACATCCAGCAGCACAATGTGCGGGTGGGAGCTCAGCACCTACCAGCCCGACCAAACAGGCTCTCTTCCTACTCTTCCTACCTGAGTGCGTCTCCATACCTGAATGAATGCGTCGGGGTCGGCGCAGCTCTGCTTATCAGCAAACTTCAACGTGCACGCAGCGGCCTGCCGGCCATCTCTCACGGCAATGGCCTTGAAAAAGTCCAGCATGTTCGCTCTGAACCTTGGCTCTAACTCCGCAGTCATGCCCACATCCAGCAGCACAATGTGCGGGTGGGAACTTAAAGCCAGCCCCACCCCTTCCTCCGGCGCCGACGGCAGATGCCCGCGCTGCATGCGCACGAGAATGTTCCCCGGGTGCAGGTCCGCGTGAATGAAGTTGTCTACAAGGAGCATTTTGAGGAGCGTGTGTGAGCCGAGCTCGGCTAGCTCCATGTTGAGTTTGTTCCCCGCCCGCTTCTCCCACCACTGCTTGAACGGCCGCCCCCGCAGCAGCCACCGCCGCTTCTTTTTTCCCTTGGGATCACCCCCGTTCTCTGCCCCTTCCGCTTTCCTTTCCCTTAGTCCCTCCGCACCCTGCCCGCCCTCCGGCCTGCCTTCTGTTGCGCTGGCAGCTGCTATCCGCTTGTCATCCACCCCACTCTCAGAATTGCTCCCCCCTACTCTCGCCTCTGCCACTCCTGTTTCTGAAGCAGCAGCTGCAGCTGCTGCTGCAGCAGCGGCGGCTTCAGCTGCAGCTTTCTCAGCTTCGGCAGCAAGCCACGCGCCCTTGCCCTCCGGCCCAACCACGCCGCCAGGCTCGGCCCGATCCACGTACCGAGCCACGCTCTGCCCGGACTCAAACGTTTCCACGAGCACCTCGGGATGCACGAGCGGGTATAGAGGCTTGGGGAAGCTGATGCTGCGCCAGCGGCGGAAGTTGTAGTTGAAGCGACTTAGCTGGGCGGCCTCTCTGGCTAGATCCACCTGGCCAACGAGAACCGGGATCGGGGAACAAGGGATGGTCATTGCTTTTGAGTCATTTAAGGGATGGGGGAACCTGGCCAACAGGAAACGGGATGGGGGAACAAGGGATAGGCATTGAAGAATGTAGCTTCAGGGGATGACACTCTGAAACTCTGAAGCTGCCTCTAGGACGGCAGGGCTCCTAAGCACTGCTCCCATACCCGAAACCCTCCGTTAAGTCAAAACCCTGTACCCCTGCCCCTTGTCCACCCCAGCACCGCGAACTGCTGCACACTGTCCTCTCTCCTTCAAACCTCCTAATCCCTCCCTCCTTTTCCCACTCCCACACTCACTTCCCTCCAAGTCCCTCCGTCCATCCCCCCCTCCCTCCCTCCCTTAACACTCCCCTGTGCCCTAACCTGCGCCATCATGAAAACTGCAAACTGCTGCACGCTATCCTCGAGCCTCAACCACTGCAGGCCAGGCACGAGGCTCGTGGAGCACTGTCCCCCCAACACCATAACTCAAATCTCTAAAGTGAGTCAAAACCCAGTATCTCTCACCTGCGCCATCATGAACACCGCGAACTGCTGCACGCTGGCCTCGAGGTGTAGCCACTGCAGGCCCGGCACGAGGCTGGTGGCGCACTGTCCCCCCAACACCATACCCCAAAACCCTCCCTTGAGCCAAAACCCTGTAACCCCTCAACCATACCCCTTACCTGCGCCATCATGAACACCGCGAACTGCTGCACGCTGTCCTCGAGGCGCAACCACTGCAGGCCCGGCACATGCTGGCGGCACATCAGTCCCCCCAACCCATACCCCAAAACCCTCCACTGAACCCAAGCCCAGCATCCCGCACCTGTGCCATCATGAAAACTGCAAACTGCTGTACGCTGTCCTCGAGGCGCAGCCACTGCAGGCCCGGCACGAGGCTCGTGGCGCGCGCGACCCAGTTCATGATGACGAAGTCGCGGTGGATCACCTCGCGCACGCCCGGGTGGCGCACCTTCACCGCCACCATGCGCGGCGGCTCCACCATCTTCGGCTCCGCGCGCGGATAGCGGCTCGTCAGCACCGCGCGATGCACCTGCGCGCCCAGGACAAAGGAGGAGGGTCGGAAACGGGGGCGGAAGCGGGGGGAGGAAGAGCGCGGAAGCGGGGGGAGGAAGAGCGCGGAAGCGGGGGGAGGAAGAGCGCGGAAGGGTGGCGAGGGGAAGGGGAGGGGAGGGGGAGGGGGTTTGGGGGGTTGGGGTTAATGGGTGGGTGGTGCGCACGCCCGGGTGGCGCACCTTCACCGCCACCATGCGCGGCGCCTCCACCACCTTCGGCTCCGCGCGCGGATAGCGGCTCGTCAGCACGCGCGGCGCACCTGCGCAACCAGGAGGGGAGGCGAAGGTGGGTGGGGGAAGCGGAGCGGGTTGGAGGGAGCGGGGATCGGGTTTGGTGAGTGAGGAACAGCATAAAGGGAAAAGACCCCAGCTTAGGGAAAAGCTTCGCGCAAAAGCGCAAGGCTTACCTGCGCAATGCTCCCCGACGCGACGGGCTCCTCGTCAAACTCATCAAACATCTCCTCCAATCGCCGTCCGAACGCGCGCTCCACGATGCGCTGCGTCGTCTTGAACGGATGCGCCGGCGCCTTCGTGTGCAGCTTCGACAGCTGCGCGCACATGTCTTTAGGAAACAAGTCGGGCCGCGTCGCCGCCCACTGACCCCACTTTATGAACGCCGCTCCCGCGTACTCTAGCGTTCTATGTACCAGCTCCAGCCACTGCTGCCGGAACTGCCCTCCAGCCATATCCGCGAACGGGCCAGTCACGATCGCGGGCAGGAAAAGAAAAATCAGGTACACGGTGCGAAGAGCCAGACGGATCGCTTCTTGCGTTTCAAGGAGGAAGTCTATAACGGGGTTGGTGTGGTGCTGTGCCTGCACTTGCGACTTGAGCTGCGCTGCGCCGAACATCTGCTCCGCGTGCGCGCACGATCCGTCTCTACCCGAACCGTCTCGACCGGACGTCCCCCGAAGCGCTGCTTCCCCGAGAATAATCGCCACTAGCCGCGGCGCGATCTGCGACTTGGACGCCGCGAGGCTCGCGGCGCCGAAGGTCCGTGCGAGAGGCGGAAAAAAAAAGACAGGAGGACGACACCGATCCGCGGCGCCTTGCAACAAGTGGCTCCATTTCTCCCTGGCTTCTCGAGCCGCTCCCTTTGCCACTTCTCGAGCCGCGAGGTTGCCGGTTCGCAGGAGCCTGACAGCTGCTGACTGCTCAAACAGACGGCTGGATTCGCGCGAGATCTGACGGGAAAGCGTCAACCTTGCCGCGATAACGGTGGCACTGGTACTGCTGCCGATCGAGGAAGAGGGTTGAGATGCGGATCGAGACACAACACGAGAGTAGAAGGATCGGAGTAACCGGATCTGGCCAGAGGAGGCAACGGACGGTTGCGATGCTCCTTGAACATGGTGTAAGCACCGGGAAGGGAGGGGATGCGATCGAGGCGGTAGAATCGACGGCTGCGATGCTCTGAACAGGTGTTTACCGGCTGCTTGTGGCGAGATCGAGTGGCTTGCTGCGTCTTTAGGAGTGACCAGTCTCGATAGATGTGAAACGTAGCTCCGCACGGGAGGACCGAACGACTCTTGGGCATGACGACTTCGAGAAAGAACGATAGATCTCATTCTGGTAGACAGAAGCGGTAGCTATATTATGAAGACGCGACGGTAAGCTGATTTGTCGGACGTCGCTACATTCTCTAACAGCCACTTAGGGGTATCAGCAACTTAGGAGTCTCCCTGGCGACCAACACTGATTACGGTCGAAAGGAAGATAGGGAGCTGACTAGCGAGGAGTGGCACTTCAAGAATAAACTTGAAGCTCAATTGGTCGGCTCGAAGAACGTTACCGAAAGCGTGGTAGCCAGGGTTCCCGATCATAAATACAGAATCTTGGGCGCTTACATAAGTACGTACACTGAATGTGCCAACACTCCCAGGTATTGCTTTTTGAAAACTGGCCTGACGTTTGCGTGTGAATGGCGCAGACCGGGTCCCAGCAATCTCGGAGCCAACTTCTGAAGGCACATCGTGGTTGGAGAGTGGTGCGGCAAAAATCCGTTCCGTCGAGATTCGGCTCATTCCCACCGTCAGAAGTTCCCAAGATGATGGCAGCAATTTTTCAATCAGCAGCTCGTGCTGCCTTGCTGGTATTGTCGGTCAAGATTCGTGTGGGGCGATGATCCGACGGCTGCAGCGCAGAAAACGGAACAAGACGGAAATTAATAATGGAAATATACGTCAGTACAGTTCTATATATAGTCCCTCCACAACTTCAGAAAACGTCACAAACGCGTCCATCTCTAACGCGTTCAACTTGAGCCACCAGCAAGCCCCCAGCGCGTCCATGCACAACACGGTTCCACGACGAACCTAGAGATTGCACCCCTAGCTTGTTGGTGCCTCGCTGAGTTGCAACCAGCTGTCAAACGATTTTCGCCAAAAGCAATCACCCACAGCTAGCCCTGGAAGGGCTGTACTGTACGTGTATTCCTGGTGGTTACCAGCTATTCCGTGGTTCATTCGCAGCTATTGCTGCCAGTTCCAGCTTGCGCCTAGTGTTCTGGCTGGCAGTGTTAGATTCCCAACTTATGAAAATTGCGTGTGGTCTCTCGTCCTCCGCGTTCGACGGAACCTGTTTGAGACTGGGCTAGTTCTGAATCTTGCCAACTGGACCACCAGCGAGTGCGCGTGTCATGATTTCGTTGGCGAAATTTGACGGCACATCGCTTCGTTCCTGAGGTGGGTTGTAACACAATCTCCAAGTACAGCAGACCGCCGCAATGTGCGGACACGGTATGGCCCAGGCTTTCTGTGCCACAAGCTCCTCTGTTTACTGTACAGGTGCTCGTGCCTCGGCAGAATTGCTGGGCTTCGGTCGGGTTCGGCTTCGGCGGCCTCCACCCAGCAGGACGATTTTTGGGGCTACTACAGTGAAGGCTAAAACGATAAGAAATGAACGCTCAGGATTGTCTCGAGTCTGTGACGGTCATTCGTGAATCATTAGTTTTCGTTCAGCGGAGAGCTCCTTGAATGCGCAGCCCGACAGTTGCATCAGGTGTGCAAGTGCACAGCGCCCTTCCAGAATATTGAACAGTTCGGAGTTTCCGTTTCTAGGTTGACGGAAAGCGTCCCACTTCGACGGGATCCACCTTGTAACCAGCTAGAACGGAATTCCACAGCATTTGCCAGCCTCCCATCCAGCTAAGATCAAGCAGCCTTCGAGCTTCTAACGGAATCATATGCAGTTTGAGCAGAATACTTTCCCCTATTCAGATCGTTATCCAAGTTGTAAAGCTTCCCTGAGCCTGTCACGCATCCGAATGATCCTATCAGGACACTTACCACTGACCGTAATTTCCGTGTTCCAAGCTGGGACCTCCGTCTCTTCAGCTGGATTGGCATCCTGCCAGCAAGGATCTCTAAACGAGGTGATTAGATTTCTCAGACGTGTGGGCCCAACGCGAGATGTTAGTAGCAGGCCTTGACGAGACAGTAAGACTTTGACCTGGCACGGCTTGCTTCTGGCCTGGAACCACCACGGGGCAGAGGCGGCGGTAGGAGGAGCAGAAAACGCGGAGCACTTGGAGCCACTAGTACGGACAAGCCTCGGCCAGCCGAGGCAATCTCAGGAGCCAAAACCTCTTCAGCTGCGTTTGCTTTAATTGCTACTAATCGTCGTCTCTACTGATGCTACTACCGACTGTCAGCTCGACTTTCCAAGATTTACTGCTGAACGCTTCTCCTTAGAAACCGCTTTTGATTCCTGATGCTACAACAGCCATGGCGCCGGAGGACGCTGTCTAGTAGGCAAAGTGCTGACACCATGCTCCGTGAATCCCGTGAACGCCGGGGTCTTTCTGCTCCTGCTCCTGTTTCTCGCTCAACACCCCCTCAGGAAAGTGTTTCAGAACCGGCGCGTGCTGAAATTGGACTTTGGAGGAGTGCAGAGGAAGGGGCAACTCCTGGGAATAGCAGCGGCAGCGCTGGTTGCGGCATGAGTCCGAGGATGTGCGCGAGTGAGGGTGCAACATGCCGGAGTATCATGGATTATGAAGGAGAGGCGCTTCCAGGAACCCTAAACTTCTGGACCAGAGCGGATCTGCAGGCTTGTGCCGAGCCTCGTGCCGAGCCTTGTGCCGAGCCTTGTACCGAGCCTTGTGCAGCAGAGAGTGCATCGCCCCACCTTGACCTGAATCTGTTCCCTGCTCCGGCTCGCCTCTGTTCAGCGCCCTGCTCAAGCCCTATGGAGGAGGGAAACGAGCAAGCAGCCCAAGCCCAAGAGGCACAGCACGAGCCTATGGATTTTCTGAATCATCACTCCAAGGCTCGAGCAAATTGCAATGGAGAGAGCTCCCTATCGACCCCACCACCGGCTCCTCACCCTTTTCTTTCCCTCTCAATCGCAGCCACAACTGCCGCCAACCCTCACCACTCATTACCCAGTTCTACCTCGCCCCCGCCAGCCCCGTTCACTCCAGATTCCGCCGAGCCTCATCTCTCACTCGGCCTCTCCCTCACGACACTTACTGCTGCTGACACATCTGCTCGCACGCAGCGACCTGGCTCGAGACGGACTCAAACTCCCAGTAGAACGCCCGCTATCAGAACGTCGTCTAGGAGAACACCCTCTGGTAAAACGCCGCCTGCTAAAAGAACGCCTGATAAAGGAACGCCTACTACTATCAAAACTCCTCCAAACGCCTCGCTTGGATTAGTCTCCCCTGATGTGCTCCCTGCTGCCCCTGTGCTGCCTTCTGCCGCCCAGTGCCTTTCCTCAATTCCTGCCACTGCAGAGACATCCGTACCATCTGGTCAGAAGTCTCGTGCAAACGTTGCGTCTCACCAGGCGCCCATCTCTTCCCAGGCTCGTCTCGCTGCTCCCGGCATATCCCAAACTCTCCTCCCGGCGTTGTCAGCTCGAAACTCAACAACTCCCGCAACAAGAATGGCAGCATCAGCAGCAGCAGCATCTCCATCGTCGGCAGCAGCAGCAACAGGAGCAGGAGCAGCAGCAGCCGCTGCTGCAGCCGCAGCAGCAGTTTCATCATTATCAGCATCGTCATCGTCATCAGCAGCAGCAGCATCAGCCCGAGCAGCGCTAGCAGCAGCAGCAGCAGTGCAAGAATCCACCAAAGTCCTCCCAATCTCCACCCCCCGCCCCTCCCTCCCTCCCTGCAAACTCCCCCTCGCCTTCACAACCCCTATAAAAAGCTCCTCCAAAAGCCCCTCCTTCTCCTTCCACCGATCCTACCTGAAAAGCAAAAGCGGGTCCGCTGTTGACGATGCTTACCGCAAGTCTTCTCCCAAGGCAAAGCAGTTGGCTAATGAGCCGACTGAGCCGACTCAGCAGCCATGTGCTGGTGGTGTTGCTGGGAGCAAGCACTCCCCCAAGGCAACGCAAGTGCAAGAAGCAACTGCAGCCATCACCGCACGTGCAATGGACAGCAAGGGGCATGTCAGCTCCCCATCGCTGTCGCTGTCTCTACGCCAATCGGGGTCACACTCAGGCAGGGAGGACTGTTCACGTGGTGATGGGTCGGCTGCATCTGCTGGGGAGGCGTGTTTGCTGGCACCGACTGCATTGCCTGGATCTGGAAGGTCGCTGGGCAAGAAGCGCAAGTGTCGACCTGTGGATGCTGCTACACCTACACCTCCTCCTGTTGCAACAGCTGCTGCTACCACTGCTGCTGCTACAACTGCTCCTACTGCTCCCGCTCCGACTGCTCTTGCTACTGCTGATGGTGCTGCTGCATGCGGTGTTCCCAGTCTCCCAGCTCTTGACATTGAGAGTCTGATTGCGGCCAGGAAGAAGAGGCAGCTCAGGTCCCTCCCAGCACTGCTAGGCCTCATTACTCCAGGCAGCACCACCAGCAGCCAGCCTCCTGCTTCCACCACTCCTCTAGGCTCATCCATCTCCTCCACAACTATCATCAGCAGCCGACATATGCAAGCAGCACAGCTCTCTCTCCCCCCCGGTTCCTCGCTTTCTATGCAAGTCTCAGCACAGCCCTTCAGCTCCCACACACGTGCCGCTGCACGAAGCAACTTACCCGGGTGTAATGTTGTCAACGTCCCAGCGTCAGTGCTTCCCAACACCATGTCTTCCACGGCCATGGCAAGGGTGAGACGGCTGCAGGAGCATGCGGCGGCCCTTTCACAGACTGGATTGCAGGGCTTTACGGCAGAACCGGAGTCTGAGCTGGCAAGAATTCAGAAGGTTATCCGCCATGCTGAGGCTGCTATTCGTGGCTCGTTTTAGGATTAGCTAGTGTAGTTGTTACCTGATCAGAATGTAAGGAGCCACCTCCCAGAGTCCAGAAATTTGAGGGTAATTGGGAAACAATAAATACTGCAACTTGAATTTGCTTTTCTGTACCAACGCAGATATCACCCTTTTATGTATTTA